ACTTCAGAGAGGGAGTTCCCATGGAGACCTTGGGGAGTGGCCATGGAGACCTTGGGGAGTGAACAGAGAGGAGGACGGATTGGAGTTTGCTGTAGACTGGAGCAAACGGACAATTCCTTTGAGCAACACCTGAACAGCCTGGTGTGCAGGTGAGGGGAGAGGGAAAGGGCATCTTCCTTGGGGAAATCCTCTTCCTTGGAGCCTAGGGACTGGGCAGGCATGCATTCCACTCCCATTGGAAGATTTGGTCCCCGATGGGTCTGAGAGCACCATTTTATTTCTTTCTCCCTATCTCCAGCTGTGTCTGTCCCCTTAAACATCCCTAGGTGGCATGTCTCTGGAGGGCACGAGGAACCTCTGGAGCAGGCAGAGCGATGAATTGGAGCTCCTTTGCCCTCCCATCAGGCAGTGTCCTCTCTGGGCTTCAGGGGCAGGAGGTAGGCTTTGGGAGGAAAGATGGAGTGATGAAGGCAGGCAGGAGGGAGCTGGAGGAATAGGAAAGGCAGAGGTTCACTTGGATTTCATCCACAGGGTTCCTAGGACATAGAAGAAGCAACTTCCATGGCTCCCTGACAAATCCTGAGATACCAAGACCAAGACTGGCATGTGGTGAGGGCCATATTCGTGGATGGATTGATGCAGCTAGTTGTTGACAATTTCTGGTGTCAGCTGAAACAGCCCAGAAGCTTCCTGCTCCTGCTGGGAGGCCCAGGGACCCTGTTCCTTGGCTCTGGCTCCCTCCTCCTGTCTCTCCTGGCCCTCCTGGGACTCTTGGTTATCCTGTGGCTGGTTGCTAGGTATCCCTTTTCCTATTATGTAGACCACTCTCTGCACACTGACATGTGGGACATCAGGGCATCCTACCTCAATGACAAAAGATCCTGTTTCTGGGTGGCAGAGTTAGGGGGTCAGGTGGCGGACTTGGCATGTGTCTGCCCAGCACAAGAGGTTTCAGGAAGACAGAAAAATCTGGAGCTGGTACACTTATCTGTGAGACGGGACCACCGGGGCCAGGGCATCACCAAGACCTTGATTCAGACTGTGTTCCACTTTGCTCAGGACAAGGCATACAACAGTATTGTCCTGACAACTCCCAGCTTGAATTACCCAGCAAGAAGATTGTATGAGAGTCTTGGCTTCTGGAAATCCCATGAAACAATGATGGCATTGAAATGGTCCATTGCCTCCATTTCTTTAGATTATTACAAATACACTTTGTCCCTCTCTTCCTGAAAGGCCCTTGGCCCACATCAGCTTTTTGGCTATCAGCAGGTGGTTTCTGTAGTGATTGATCAATAAAGGTTGTTGACTGACCTGGAGCCGTTGATGACCTCTTCTTATTTGCAAAATGTCCTCTGAAAATGTGCTTCTTGGCTGAGGGACAACCTTAGAGAAAAACTGGTTTATATCAAAATGCAAATGTGTGGGAAGGTCTGAATTATTGTATTTTAAGTGTTTTAAGGGGAGAGATGGTCTTGCTAATGGGTAGGGTCCTATACTGATGTTCCAGAAGAGTTGGGCTCACATCTTGCTTCCTGTACCGACTTGCTGCATGACTCTGGGAAAATCACCTAGCCTCCGTGAACTCAAATGTGGGTGACAATAACACATGTTGTGCCTATGTCACAGGGCTGAGTAAAGCTCATGTGGTAGCTCTGTAGACTTGAGGGACCACACCAGAGGATGATTCTGTCCCCAGATAACTGTTTGCCGTGAATCCTTAGGCAGGGGACTGTCAAGCGTGGTCAAGTGGGGAAATGATAGGGTTGAGTTGGATTCAGTGAGCCTTGATCAGAATGCCCTCTCTGTGACAAGCCCAGAGCTAGGTACTAAGGGGAGAAATGAGAAAAGGATGGAAGGTGCTTTGTGAACGTTCAAATCAGGGGAGTCCTAGAGCAGCTGTCATGGCTAGGAGCCTACATTTTCAGCGAGGATTAACACCTTGGAAACCAGTAAACATTATGAATCATTTGTTGTTTTGTTCATTGTCTAGATTTCAGAAGGGAATGGAGAAAACGTTAATACTATTGACTAAACTGAAAAGTGTGCTCCAAAGTACTTTTTTATTTTTCATTTTTGGAGAGCTAGGTGTTAAGCATTTCCCAGCACATTACCACTTAAAGCCTGATCTCAGTGGCAGCTTATTACAAAGACAAAAACAAAGCGGGCCTCTGTAACTCTTACCTGGTGTCCCTTCACCCCCATATTACTTTGAATTTCCTTGCTTTTTAAAGTTTTTGAACTGTTATATTTACTTTTACAATTACTTTGATCCCCCCCCCCATCTTTCCCTTGTCCCAGAGAATTATGCCTTATAACAATGAATTACAAAAAAAAAAAAATTAGCCAAATACATTCCGCTCCCCCCCCCCCCATCAAATGACATTATATGTAATGTTCTACACCCAGGGACTCTCACCACTGCAAAAGCAGGGGTAGGTGACTCCTCATTGTGTTTCCTTGGGGATCAACTTCTGCTTTATCATTTCACAGCACTCAGGGTTGTTGTTTTTTGTTTTTTCCATTTATATCAACTGTGAGGGTCTGCATTCAAATTCTGGCTCTATCACACAGCCCTTGTGGGATCCTGGCCAGTAACACTCAATGCTTTATAATGTCCAAAGCTCTTCATAGACTTTATGTCATTTGAGTCTCCTAAATCAAGGAGGCAGCTTTTGTGATTATCCCCCTTTTACAGATGAGGAAACATGATTTTTTAAAAACTTAATTTTTTGTTTTTTTTTTTTTTAGTTTTAATTTTAAGTTCCAAACTGTCTCCTTCCCTCGCTCCCCACCCAGTTCTAGAGGAAGCCACCGTTTGACAGACATGTATGTGTGTGCACACACACATACAAACATATGTGTATGTGTGTGTATATACATGTATATGTATATACACACATATGTAAAACCATACTGTGCATACTTCTATTTATCAGTTCTTTCTCTGGAGGTGGAAAGCATCTTTCTTCATGGGTCCTTTCCAGTTGATTTGAGTACTTATAATACTCAGAATAACTCAGTCATTCACAGTCCTTTCAACAATATTGCTGTTACTGCGCACAACATTCTCCTGGTTCTGCTCATTTCACTCTGCATTATTTCACGCAAGTCTTTCCAGGTTTTCCTAAAATCAACCTGCTCATCATTTCTTATAGCACAGAGGAAACATAATTTGAAAGGTTAGTGACTTCCCTCTGGTCACCCTGGTAGTGAAGGTCAGAGGTGGGATTTGAACTCAGGTCTCTGCAGAGTCACCATATTCATCATTCTGTTTATTATGCTATGCATTACTTAACTGCTCTGGGCCTCGGTTTCCTCATCTGTAAAACAAGCAGGTTCGATTGTATGACATTTTAGGATGGTGCAGGTCTACTTTCCCGGGATCTGGGATAGGCATTAGAGAAGGCACAGGACAGCTCCTTGGATTGACTGGAATGATAGCAGTGAAGTGAGAAGTGGGTCTACTAAACACTTCTTTCACTTTTCTTTTTTCCATCTCAGGAGAATGATCTTTAGGTTGTGAAGGGCAGAAGCCATTTTGTTACTAGAGGGCAGGGGAAACTGCAAAGAGAGGAAGGAGAGGTTGGGACAGCATCTAGCTGCCCTCAGGGGCTTCAATGCTCACACTGACAGACCCCTTCCAAAGCTCCTCGGAACCTAAACTCGATGGCCCCCTCCGCCAGTTTGGCTCAGATGGAGGGAGAGAGGGGAGGAAAAGGGAGAGAGGCTTTCCCTGAGTTTTCTCCATCTCTACACTTCTTCCCATCGCTTCCCGAGGAGCAGGTCTGCTCTCTCCTTTGGACCATTTCCCAGGTCAGAGGCTCTGCCTTCAGGGCCCAGACCAAAGTTATGGGCCAAAGGAAGTTGAGGAAATACAGCTGGGGTTCTTAAAGGGGCAGGCAGGTCCTCCCAGAGACAAGGGCTGGAACTAGGGAAACCTGGATTCCTGTCCAGGAGGAAGGTGAAAATTCTTTGTCTGAGGTCATGCCATCAGGGTGATGAAGTGAGAAGCATTTATTAAGCACCAACAATTTGCCAGGCCAGGGCAAAAATGAACCAGTCCCTGATCTCAAGGAATTTACCCACCTTCTGGGGAGACAATGTGTGCACATTATAAGTAAATAAAAAATAATCACCAGTTAATTGGGGGTTAGACAGGGCACTAGCCTTTAGAGGAGTTTAAGAAAAGGGGAGGGGAATAAATAAGCCTTTATTCTGTGACAGGCCCTGGGAAGTAGATGCCCTTATTATTGCCATTTTACAGTTAAGGAAACTGAGGCAGACGAGGTTAAGTGATCTGCCCAGGGTTATACAGCTTGTAAGTGATTTGAACTCGGGTCTTCCTCACTCCGGGCCCACTGCTCTAACTATTTCGCCATCAGTTACCTCGGTGAAAGAAGGGCACTTGGGCTGAGCTTTGCAGAAAGTCACAGATTCTAAGAGGAGAGATGGGGTGCGGGTGCATTCTGTGCAACGGCAGGAGATGGGAGACGGGATCTTGTGCGTGAGGAGCAGCAAGGAAGGCAGTCTGGCTCCCTGGACAAGTGCATGCTGGGAAATGCAGGGCTTGGAAGGCCAATCCGAGGTCCCAGGGAGCCACCGCAGGGCTTTAGGAAGACCCCGCTGATAGCTGAATGAAGCTGGATTCCAGAGAGTGAGAAAAGCAGTGACGAGGCCTTGTGCTAGTCCAGGAGTGAACATGGGCTCAGATCCCAGCTTTGACACTTACAGGTCACTCCCTGGGCCTCAGTCTCTTTACCTGTACAATGGGGGTGGGGTGGACGTGTAAAGAGAAGGGGCAGGATGGGAGCGGGGTGAGTGCACACAGGACCTGCTGACCCGCCATGCTGAGCAGGACCTCCAACCAGAGCCCTGCTGGGCAAGGGCAGACAGGGTGCCCAATTAGCAGAGCCTTCACTCCTCAATGAGATCGACAGGAGAGGATTGTAAGACTACAAAAAGTTATCATCAAAATCACGCCAAAAACATTTGTTGATTCTTTTTTTTTATTTCATAAAACATCTTTGGTTGACATTCTGCAAATGATACTTTCTAATAATGTCCCGATCTTTTCTTCTTTGGGAGTCAGTTTGTATGTCTGTAAAAATAAAGTCACACATGGCACATTAATACTGGGCATGACCAACTCAATTTCACTCACTCATACAGAATCAAAAGAAATTCATGGTCATCACTTTCTGATAAGGAACACCGTCCAATTTTTCAAAGGCAGACAATTGAAAGAATATGGAAGTAGGTACTGGCCAACATTTCTCCAAGGATTGTGAACCCAGAACATTTTTCAAGGATTTCCCCATAGTTCTCCACTCAGTCCTGCCCAAAGTTAAAATGTCTTGAAAAGGCTTAAGGAAACATGTTCTCACCACCAGGTCCAGGGGACTCAGAGGGGAACCTTTCTGATCAAGCCAATAACAATAAAACAAACTCTTTCCACCCCGTCACTATCAATCTGAAAACATGAGATTCCTCCAACCTTTTTTATTTTGGTGATATCTGTTATTTCTGGAAGTTTGTCTAAGGAAACCTGATGACCATCCACCTGAGATATGAGGTCTTCTGGATTCATTCGCTTTTCTCCTTCTTCGACATAAACAATTAAAACTGAAGAGTCACTGTCTGACATGCCAAACTTTTTCAAGGCCTCTGAAATCTGCCATGAAAGCAAAAGGGTTCCATCAGGGCTTCTGAGCTAGATCATGAAAGAGCACATCCCACAGTGGCAGAATAAACAGTGTCCTGGACAGTGGGAAGAGGGCAAGAGCCTTTCCCACTTGAAATGGGCTCTTTGTTTAAATGGCACTCACAGGTGTGTCTTGCCTTAACTTTTCTCCTAGTGACACGGGCATTGCGAACTCATCAGCTCTCATCTTTGAGGCCCACCCCGAACTTCTCTCAATGTCAGGAGTGCGTTCCTGCCTTCAACGGGACAGACTCGGATGTGTCCTACGGGTCTCCCACCCACCTTCTGGGTATCTGCCAGATCCTTAGTAAGCCCAATTCTATCACTTCAATGGATCACAACATTTCACCAGGTCTGAATGGGTTCAATTTCCAGCCTGGCATTAAGCAGACGAGGTCCTGCAGAAGTCAGAGAGTAAAGTGCCCTTACGTTGTTGTTTGGGGAAAGGTTGAAGATAATTTCTGTGCACAGAGTCCTTGTCTTCATTTTCCCAAGCTTGTGGAGATGGACGGCCTTGTTGGCTGCCACAAGGATCTGAAATGGATCAAGCACCTACAGCAGAGGAGAAGAGGAAGAAGGACAGACCGAGGCCTTGGAGTGCGCTGCAGAGGGGCCTGCTTGGGTCCCTGAATTTGAGAGGTGGGTGAGGGAAGGGAAGCCTCTCACTTTGTAGATAAGAAAACTGAAGCCCAGAGGGGGAAGGAGTTTCCCCAAGGTTACTCAGAGAGTTAATGCCAGGTTCACCTGGTCTCCTGACTTCCAGGTCAGAGTTCTATCAACTACCCAAGCACCAAGCCAGGAAAATCTGGCTGTGCAGCCCATCCTTGTTAAGATATTGGTTCAGGTATCAGGTGTTCATTTTTCTCCTCCCAATCTCATTGACATAGAACCTGACTCTGATCTGTGATTTTAGGATGACAACAAAAGTTAAAAACACAACAGGAAAGATAAAAATTAATAAAGCAACTTTATTTGAATGGAAAGAAATATTTTAAAATAATATTTATATACCATGTAATAATATAAATATATTATTATACTAATAAATTTAATTTTAAAATTAAATTAAAATAAAAATTAAATTAATATTATTATATTAATATATAATAATAAAATAATAATATACCATAAAATTAATATGGTAGGTTCATATAATTTTTAAGTCAAATTTTTTTTCCTCTTTCAAAGAGATGTCATTTTAAGGCTGCAACTTTCTTTCTGTTTTCCTTTTATAATTTAGTTACATCTTTCAGAGTGACCTATTTTTGGACCAACAATTCTCTTTCTAACATGTCTGATGTTAGAAGAATTTTAGGCTAACCTTGAAGTTGCTTCCATAAAATAGAGGAAACATCACACACATACTGCAATGTCTATAAGATGGGGTGGAGACATAAATTATTAATTCAGTCTAGAAGCAGCCACTTACTTACCATCGTAGCATTAATTAATGCTCCATCAATGCTACCTTCCATGGCCTTTTTTCTTAAATCTCCAGCATTTTTTACACCACGAAATAAGAGAAGAGTCACTGTGCACTCAGGAAATAGGTCTAACTGTGATGTGAACTGCATTTTCCACTGCAGCGGACAAAAAAAATACCTAGAGAATTACTTTTTTTTTATGTTACCATAGAATATTACAGGCACAAGTGAGAATGGCTCACACCCCTTCTCCCCAATCTCAAAACCCTGACCCTTAATTTAGCGTCCCTGGATGAAGGCAATTGGAATCGTGCCTCTTTAAGACACGGATTATTATCTTCTCTACATAGTAAAACATATGGAGGTTAAGCAAGGTTAGTTACAGCAGTACCGTGTTCTAATTCGTGAAAGAAAGATCTACAAACTGTGGCAGCGATGTGGCATAATAGACAGAGCTTTAAATTTGGGAGTCAGGAGTGTTTGGGTCCAAATTGCTCTTCTGACCCTTAAGTGCCCTGGGAGAATCACTTCACCTGAGCCCCAAATGGGTACCCGAGGTCATCCAGGTGGCACAGCCAGAATCGGACCCGAAGCGCCTCCTCTTTCATTAATGGCCCCCAATTTATCCCATCTATAGCTTGTTTCTACACATCTATTCTATCGTTGTCTCCCCCTTCAGATTCTGGATTCCTGAAGGGCAGGCACTGTCTTTTGCTTCTTTTCATATCCCTGGCCCTTAGCACAGTGCCTGGCACATAGAAGGCACTTAGTGTATGTTGACTTGATTAAGTCATCTGATTCCAGGTCCCCTGCTCTTTCCACTGTGCTAAACACCCCTTCCCTCCACTGAGAAGCACTCTGCAAACTGTAATCTGCTCTCTAAACACAAGCAATTATTATTATTATTATTGTTAATAAGTGACAAATGCCTGGAGTCCCGATTTGATGAGTGACTTAGGAGAGAAGATGAGACAAGCCTCAGCAAGTCCATGGACCTTTTTCGGGTGCTTACATAAAGATGATTTCTGCAAAGCGTTCTGTAAACCTCGATGCCTCATATAAGCCTTGGCTCCTATTTGCCTCGCTGTCTCGCACTAGGAACCCCAAGAGAAAATGATGGTTTTATGTCTGATTCATGACCTTCTCAAGCTCTTTCTCCAGGTGCTCCATAATCGTCCAGGAACTCTGGGATCTCATCAATTTGCACATCCTCTCTAACTGCAGATTGCGACCCACCGATGCCTAGCTGAACCTATTTCTCCGATGCTTATCCTAGTCTCCCCATAAGACCAGAAGATTCCGATGTTCTGCCCCAGACGTATCCTGTATATGCCCATTTGTCTCCTCCATTAGAGTGTAAGCCTCTTGAAGGCAAGGACTGTTTTCTCTTGCATCCTAAGGACTTAAAGACAGTAACTGGCACTGAGAAAGGGCTATATATACTAGCTATTATTCTCATAATTATCAGTGATTATTCTCAATATTATCTCCATTTTACAGATGGGGAAACTAAGGCAAGGCAGTGGTTAAGTGGCTTGCCCAGGGTTGAACAGCCAATCTATGTCAGGGGCCAAATTTGAATGCGGGTCTTCCTGGGTCTGAAGCCGGCTTCCCGTGCCAGGCTGCCTCTCTCATCCTCAATATCATGTCCATTTTACAGATGAGTAAACTGAGCACTTAAGCCATTTGTCCAGGGCTGCACAGCTAGTCAAGTATCTTAGGATGGATCTGAACGTTCTATATCTACTTTAATAGTAACTCATTGATGGTTTCATTCGTTCATTCATTTATTCACTCATTCGTTCATGGATCCGAGTGTAAACAAAACTCGGGAAGGTGAGGATTTCATAGAAAGCTCCGGGGTGCCCTGGAAGCCCTGGCCCCTGGTGACGTCACCCTCACAACGTTCCCTCCGTCCTAGGCAAGCCACGCCCCCACCGCACGCCACCAATGACAGCCTCCGGTTCTCCCCAGACGCCCGACGCCGTGACGTCACCGCCGCCGCCAGAGCGCCTCCGCGCCCTCCGCCGGAGCAGCCATGGCTGCCGATCTGTAGTCGCTCCTGGCCCCAATGCCGGGAGGCCTCGGCCAGGTCTGAGCCCGCTCCGGCCCCCGCTCCCCAGCCTCTGGTGCCACCCTACGCAGAGGAGGACTTACATAGCTCCACTTGTTCCCCACTGAAACCCTTCTTTTCGGAAATGGCGCCCTCTTCCTTCCTCACGATTCCTGGGGGCTCGCGCACGCGCCCTGATGCCAATTCCTGTTCTTCGGTTTCTATGTCCCGCCCCTTCGCGCGCTCCCGCGCTCACTTCCGGTTTCCGGTTGTGGTTGGTTTGTTTCTTCCCAGGCGCCCGCCTCCTCTGGGCCTCCACCTCCCCTCTGTCAGGCGAGGGGGCGGGGCCATATTAGAGTCATTTATTGAGCGCGCGTTGATTGAGCATCTGCTGCATGCCAAGTCCGCCGCGCTCTGAGTCTCTCCCCTCACAGACCTGTGGCTGTTTACGTGCCGACTTCCCCATTAGACTGTAAGCCCCCTTGGGGCAGGGGCTGATTTTTGTCTTTTTTTGTGTTCCCAGCCTGGCACCCGGTAGGCGCTTAATAAATGCTTATCGACAGAGCTAAACAGCCCCAGGTGGTGAATTCAGAATCTGTACAGAGTATTGAGCGGGTGCCGGAAGAGCAGCAAGTGGGGAGATCAAGATGGCAGCCCCTTGTGGGAAGGCCCATGGGATTCCCAGCAGCCAAGGGGAGGGTGAGGAGTCCAGGAAGAGTTACATGCAGCTTGAGAGGGGCAGACAGATGGAAGATGGAAGGAGGGAAGGTGCAATCAGGCGATTAACCAGCATCCATTAAGCACCTACTGCATACAGACACAGGAGTGGTTTTCTGTTTCCTTCTCCAGCTCATTTTGGAGATGAGGAAACTCAGGCAAAGAGGGTAAAGTAATTGCCCGGGGTCACACAGGTAGTAAATGTCTGAGGCTGGATTTGAACTCAGGAAGGTGAGTCTTCTGGACTCCAGGCACATAGAAGGTACTTAGTGTACTTTGACTTGATTAAGTCATCTGATTCCAGGTCCCCTGCTCTTTCCACTGTGCTAAACACCCCTTCCCTCCACTGAGAAGCACTCTGCAAACTGTAATGTGCTCTCTAAACACAAGCAATTATTATTATTATTATTGTTAATAAGTGACAAGTGCCTGGAGTCCCGATTTGATGAGTGACTTACGAGAGAAGATGAGACAAGCCTCAGCAAGTCCATGGACCTTTTTCGGGTGCTTACATACAGATGATTTCTGCAAAGCGTTCTGTAAACCTCGATGCCTCATATAAGCCTTGGCTCCTATTTGCCTCGCTGTCTCGTACTAGAGACCCCAAGAGAAATGATGGTTTTATGTCTGATTCATGACCTCCTCAAGCTCTTTCTCCAGGTGCTCCATAATCATCCAGGAGCTCTGGGATCTCATCAATTTGGACGTCCTCTCTAACTGCAGATTGCGACCCACCGGTGCCTAGCTGAACGTATTTCTATCCATTTCTCCACCTAGCTGGCCCTCAACTATGACAAGGCAATCTATTTGCACTTCCCTACTATTCCACTTACCATAGCAGCTTTTCCAAACCTTTTCATCAGTTCTCAAACCCCTCATAGCATTCCCATCCCTGAACCCTCTTGGGTGAGAGCCTCTTAAATTTCAGTGAAAAAATTGAGGCCATTTGCAGAGAGCTCCCTTTTTTCCGTCTTCTTATCCCATCACCCAGATGCCTTCTGCCACTGTCTCTACCCCTTACTTGAAGAGGTGACCTTTCTCCTTGCTGAGGCCAACCCCTCTACATTCACAAGTGATCCCTTTCCGTTCCATCTTGTCTAACAGATTGCCCGAACTCCTCGCCACTCTCTCTAATCTTCAGTCCCTTACTGTTAACTGGCTGCTGCCTTACTGCCTAGAAGTGTGCTTGCGTCTCCTCCGTCCTGTAAAACAAAAACAAAACTCGCTTGATCTGTCCATTCCTCCTAGAAATCATCCCATACATCCTTTGTGGTAACCTCGAGAAGGTGATCTGCAATAGGTGTCTCCACTCCTTTCCCCCCACTCTTGTTAACTCTCTGTCTGGCTTCTGACCTCATTATTCTACTGAAACTGCCCTGTCAAGTTACTAATGATCTCTTAAATGCCAAATCTAATGGGCTTTTCTCAGTCCTCATCCTTCTTGACCTCTCTGCCATCTTTTATCCTGTACATTTACTTCTCCCCATGATAACGGATTTCTCCTTGTTTTTCTATCTGTCTGATTCATTCCCCTGTCTCCCTTTGTTTAACCAGTTCCTGCCCAGGGTCTCTCCCAGACTCTCTGCTGATAATATTTTACTTGACAGTTTCATCAGGTCTCATGGATTTAATTGTTATCTTTGTTGATGATTCTCAAATCTGCTTACCTAGCCCTAACCTCACTGCTGACCACGAGTTTCACATCTCCAACTGCTTATTAGACATCTCAAAATGTCATCTAGACTTCTTAAACTCAGTGGCCAAAACTGTACCCATTATCTTTCCTCTGAAAATATCCCCTCTTTTAAACCATCATTTTTCAGATGGGATAACTGAGGCCCAATATGGTAAGCTGACTTGCCCCAAGATCACACAACCTGTTGGGCTGAACTTGAATCCGGGTTTTCCAACTACAAGTCTTTTTGTTTTTTTTAAACTACATCACATTGCCTTTAAGCAGAGGATACTGTGATCATCAATGAGTGCGACAGAATCAAAGAATGGAATGAATGTATGCCCAATGGTGTGCTTAGAGCTGGGAATGTAAAAAAGCTGACTGTCCTATGTTCTGACAAGGAGAGATCACACTGACAGGGCAGTGGTGGCTGGGTGAAGGGATTTTAGTTTGGAAAGTTATATGGATGGTGAACAGAGGGATAGGTTGGCAGTTTGACATGCCCCTTTGAGTAGCAAGGGCTATATCAGTTGGACTGATTAAGATTCCAGAGCTGAAAAGAGGTGGAGGCCTAAGGCAAGGAAGCCATCAAGAAGATGGAGGTGACCTGGAGCTACAGCTGGCCTCCGCTGGGGAAGCCTGTGAGGTGCTAGCAACTCTCAGGGTTCATGGCCGGAATGGCCCAAGAAGCCTTTCCAGGATGTGAGAGGCTGGAGCTGGGTCTTGAAGGGTGGGGAGTATTCAGATGGGTGTCTGGTGTTGGGAAGGTCGGATGGAGGAAGCAGAACCTGGAACCATCTCAGAATCATTGGGAGCCCTGTGAGGGAAGGATGGGGGCAGGTGGTGAGCCTGCCCACGTCTGGGAGTGCTGCCCAGGGAGTTCTGGCACCTTCTTACAGATCCAGGGATAGGGTTGGTCACAGAGCATGTCGTTCCACTTTGCCTGAATGTGGACACAGTCTTCACTCAGGCCCTTCTCGTACTGCCAGTTGTCCGGCTGGTTCTTGTTCCAAAACCTGTCAAAAAGAGCAGCCCTGATCTGTGAGAAGCCTGGGTATCATGGTGGACCCCTTTCCTACTGTGGACCAGGCTGTGCTGGGTGTGTAAGGGATACAAGGTTCATGTAAGAATTGCTGCCTTTGTAGTGTAGCACTGGGCTTGAAGCCAGGAAGACCTGTGTTCAAATCCTAGCTCTGATTACTACTACCTATGGGACCATGGACAAGTCACTTTATCTCTGAGCCTTGGTTTCCTCATCCATAAAATAAGAATGATGTCGCCTGTAGTACCTGCTTTACTATTTTTGTGACACCCAGATTGAGGTACTGTAAGGCATTAACCAAATGCCAATTATTATTCTAACCATAACAGACCCTGTTAAAAGAGTTCAATGGTGTGAGGGAGAGATTGCTGCCCCAAGCCTAGAGGCTTGGTTTCAAGTTACAGCTCTCCCTTTAGCCAGCTGGGTGAGCATATCACAGAGTTTCCAAACAAAATGCCACGTGAGGTCTGAGGAAGGTTCTCTACTGGTGTGGGATGGGAAGAAGCTTCATGAAGAAGGTGGCATTTGAGTTGGGTTGGATAGGGGTTAGATTGCAGCAGGCCTCAGTCTCCTCCAATGTAATGTAAAGAGGCTGTACTAGATAATCCTTAAAGTCTCGTCTAGCTCAAAGTTTTATGTTACGATAACTGTTGGAACAGCCTTTGTCGCTTATAGAAGGATATCGCCAATCCAGGATTAGAAACAACCACCTGTGCCTAGTGCGTGGTCCTGCTTCGGATGTTAGTTTGTTTTTGGTTTTGGGTTTTGTTTTTTTTTTTGAGCCTGCAGTCCCTCATATCCAGTCAACGTTTTGCAGGCTGCCTCTTAGAAGACAGGGCCCTAAAGAGGACCCAGAACTACTCCACAGTGACAGCATTTGTCAGTAGATTAATGTCCAGATGGTCTTCCCCTTTAGGCGGCTAGGTGGCACAGTGGATAGACCACTGGGCTTGGAATCAGGAAGACTCATTTTCATGAGTTCAAATCCAGCCTCAGACATTTACTAGCTGTGTGACCCTAAGCAAGTTGCTTCACCGTGTTTGCCTCGGTTTCCTCATCTGTTAAATGAGCTGGGAAAGGAAATGGTAAACCACTCCAGTGTCTTTGCCAAAAAACCCTAAATAGAGTCATGAAGAGTCAGATATGACTGAATAATAAAAGATCTTCACTTTCCTAGGCATAAGGTTAGGCCTTTTGGTGGATATGTTTAGGAAAATATTCCCTCTCTGCCTTTGCACAGTCTGGCTGTCCTTTGTACCTGGAATAGTTTGTTTTTTTATGTTGTATATTCTTTGTTTCTATTCATATGTTTACATGTGTTCTCTTCCTCTAGAAAATAAGCTCCTTGAAGGCAGGAACTGTCATTTCTGTCCCTGCATCTGCATTGCCCAGCACATTGCTGTTCTGTCGTGTCCCACTCTGTGTGACTGGTATGGACACCATCCTGTCTGTGGTGTTTTCTTGGTAAGGACAGTGGAATGGTTTACATCTTTCTTCACCGGCTTATTTTATAAAGGAGGAAACTGAGGCAAACAGGGTTAAGTGAGTTGTACACAGTCACACAGCTAGTAAGTGTCTGAGGCCAGATTTGAACTCAGTTCTTCCTGACCCCAGGTCCGGCACTCTACCCATTGAGCCACCCATCTGTCTCCTAGTAGGCACTTAATATATGCCAGCATGTAGCAGGCACTTAATAAATGCCTCTTGAGTGATTGATAAAAGGGATTCTTGTTCAGGCCTGTGTCAGACTAGATGGCCCTGAGGTCAGTTCCAATTCCGGAATTTAGATCTCCCTGACCGGGCTCTGGGACAGAGACGCCTGGGAAGCTTTGCGGCTGGAGAGACCCGTCTCGCTTACGCTCTGCTCTCATTATACGGAGTCCCGTCCACCCAGTGCCAGGTTCCTTCAGTGTCCTTGTCAGTCAGCCCAATCCAATGGTACACTCCATTTGTCCTCTTGCTTAGAAATTCCTGCAGAGGGGAATTAGCAGAGAATGAGATTGTTGGGGGTGGAGATTTCCTAAGTGTAGCCTCTAGAGGCAAAAGGAGGCGGTATCTGTTAGTTCCTCTCCCTCTCCCCCCTTCCCTCCTTCCTCCCCTCTCCCTCTCCCTCTCTCTCTCTCCCTCTCTCTCTCTCTCTCTCTCTCTCTCTCTCTCTCTCTCTCTCCCCCTTTTCTCCCTATCTGCCTTCCCTCTCTACTTTTCCCCCTCTTTCCCTCCCTATCCATCTCTGTTTCATATTTCTCCCTCCCATGAGCCTTCCATCTTTCCCCCTTCATTCCTAGAACTCAAGCTCTGTTTGCATGTGCCTTTTTCATCTTGGACCAAGCAGAGTGCATCACTTGATTCTGTATGGCCTGTCCCCCTGGGTGACTTCCCCCAGCGCACAGACTACATGCTCCTCCTCAAGCATTCTCATAGATCCCTTAGAGCATGGAGGGGAGGAATGCTATTATGAATGCTGTTGCTCGTGATTACGTAATGAATAGTAATACTTTGTCTTTCAAAAGATAATAAGGATGGGACCATTTTGTTTTATCCTTGTAGTCTCATGGCCCTGGACATAGCAGCCATTTCATTAATGTTTCTGGTTAATCTATTCTTCTATTTCATTGGAGTGAGGCTTGCCCCTCCGCCTTGACTGTCTTTCGTGACAGTAAATACTTTTTAGGTATTCCATAGGGCGCAAGTGATTCTCTTTCTTGTTTCTTACTCTCCCCCTCTCCCCCAGCCCCATACTCTGTCACTTTTTACTTTTTTTAGGACCTTTGGGGAGAGCACAGACCTGTTCTCTCTCTGAGGTCACTGAGGCCAGATGAGAATTGTGGGACACACAGAAGCGCTCCGCCTCCTCCCAGGTCATTTTGGTGTCTGAGAAGTAGTAGGCCTTCCCCTCATAGAAGTGCCAGCCTTGGATGATTAGCTGCAGAAGGGAGCCCAGGGTGGAAGGGTCTGGAGAATAGAGGGAATTAGGAGCTTCTAAAAAGGGATGCTGAGATACTTTCCCACCCTCCCTGGAGCTAACATCTTTGGAAGCCCCATGATTGGCCCAGGTTGGGGCTGTGGTGGTGGGCGGGGATGTCTCAAACATGATTGGTGCCTTATATTTTCTTTTTTTTTCTTTTTTTTTCATTGATATGAAATTTATTGCACAGAGATTCCTCTTATACATTTGACGTTTTTTCACCATTAGTTCTTGAAAGAAAACATTATTTAAAATTAATAAAGCTTTAGAAAGATGTATTGATTTTAAATGAAAGAAAATGATCCCTTTGTGCAACTCTTAATGACAGTGAGGAATCTATGCATGAGATGTTAAGTCAATACCGAGTAGGACTGAAATGCCACAATTAGGTTGACTCATTTCACAATTATGTCATTTTTAGTTTGGTTCTGTCCACTGATTTTTAAAAGCCTAAATTTTTTAAAAGATCTGTTTCTAGGTAAATATCACAGACATCTACTAAAAGAGCTCCCTCTTCTCATCTCACATCCCTCTCCCATCATCCCCCACTATCTGCTGCTCCTTCATTCCTGTTTGAGGTGATGAGATGGTCTTTCTCCTTCTTAAAGTCAACCCTTCTACAATTAAAAATAACAGTAAGTAAAAAAAAAAAGCAGTAACAATAACCAGCTTTTACATAGTGCTTTAAATTTTCCAAAGCACTGTACTTTACCTCATTTAATCTTCATGACCCTGTGAAGTAAGTACTATTACTATTGTAATATTATTACTATTACTATTGTAAATGCTAGTATTATTGTGCCTTACATTTTCTAAAGGACTTTTGTATCTGTATCCTTATTTGTTCCTCAGCACCTGGGAGTCAGCAGGGCTGGGGTTTGTGTCTGCCTCTTGCAGGTGAGGAAACTGAGGCCCAGAAAGGTAGTGAGCTGCCCAAGGTCCAAGCTAGTGATAAAGTTGGATCTGGGACTTGGGTCTCTGAACTCCTTGTCTGTGCTCTGCCCCCTTGCCACAGATGTTGATGGGGTGCTTGTTTGCATAACAAAAATTAGGATTATGATTCGTGGCTGAGTGTGTTGGGTCATTTTTCTGTGAGACGAGCTGCCTCCCAAATATATTTGAATTTTAACCCAAAAGAATGAATCTTTAATGGCAGAATATCAGGTCTGGTGTGCTTGGCCTCAAGTTCCTTATCTTTGCAACAAAGGAGTGGGATAGAATGATGTCTAAGGTTCCTTCCATCCCTAAATCCTATGACAAGAAGCACCTGCCCTCCCCCAAAAACCCTCTGTGATAAAAGCTGTTGTCCGTGTTACTCACCTTGATGACCTTGTTGGTACCGTTGTGCTGCAAGATTCTCCAGTTGCTCTTTTAAGTCTTGAACTTCAGCATTTAGGCTACTGGTGTTTACCAGACTTCCCATTATCTTCTGGATTTCTCCATTGGCTTTCTCCAAATCACGTCTTAACCTCTGTGCCTCAGAATTTAAAGCATTTGTGCTTTCCAGATCTTTCTTTAATTTTTTGATCTCATCACTGGCATTCTTCAGATTTCTGTTTGCCATATGAGTCTGAGCATTGGCATTTTCCAGACCTTTTTTTAACATCTGGATCTCAGCGCTGGCATTCTTCTCATTGCTGTTTGCCATCTGGATCTGAGCACTGGCATTTTTCAGACCTTTTTTTAACACCTGGATCTCAGCACTGGCATCTTCCAAACAAGTACTTAACATCTGGGTTTGAGGAGGGGCAGTCTCCAAAACACCTTTAAGCATCTGGATGGAAGTCTGAATATCTGCTACCTTGCTGAGCATTTGGGGATCTGGAGGAGGGAGGAAAAGATCCTGAGGTTTGTAAAAGGGCACTGCTGAAAAGAATTAGAATGATCAAAAGAAGTTGGACTGTGCCCTTGGGACCCTGGGCTTTGCTAGGTAAGCCTTTGCATTCTCTTGCTGGGACCCAGGCCACCCAACATTCTTGGGCCATTCAGATCAGGGTATAGATGGTAATACCTCACCCTCCTTTTCTCAATGCTATTATTAGAGAGTTGAGCATAAATTCTTTGAGGTAAGAGACTGTCTTGCTCACTTGTGTTTGTGTCCCTAGTCCTTAGCTCTGTGCCTGACACATAGTATGTGTTTACTAATGCTTTTTTATTCATTCTGCAGGCTCCAAAGGCAACCTCCAAGTCTGTTGTTTGAATCACAAAGGTATGACTGAGATACCTTTTCTGCCATCTGGTGACAGTGAATCATATCTTCAGATCCAATTCTTTTGAAACGACTGCTTGAGCGCTGAACCTGAACCTCTATAGTAACTACAGATGTCATATAGAGTGCCTTTGAGAAGTATGTGAATGACTCTTGGGCAGCTGGGATGAAGACCTGCAATCTTCTCCAAACCCCCACCCCATCTCCATTCCTTCTTGGATGCTGTCCACTACAGGCTCACAGACCACACAGCCTGCAGCAGACACAGTTTTCATGTCCACATACTGACCTCTCTCCAGTAAAAGGGGGAAGAGGCAGAAAGCCTGGTTCCTAATAAATATGACAGTATGTCCCAGTACTGCTGCATAGAGCTATTGTTTTTGATATGGTTTCAAGGGGGCATGAGGACAGACCATATGCCCTTTGAATAACAAGTAGTCCAGCTTCTCTGTATAAGGGGACAGAGGTGTGGAGTAGACCCTAGGGACTGGGCAGTCTGGTGATTCAAAAGTGACCAGAGGCTGCTCCTCCTGGTGAATCTCAGTCTGGCAGCTACTCACCACCATCTGGCTGCCACGATGGCCATTGGGTATCATTGCTGCCCAACCCTGTGTTTCTGGTTCCTTAACTTCCCCTGTGAGATTACTTTCCATCTACAGTCTATCATATATGTCCTTTATTGGTTATATTTTTGTCTATCCTATTAGAATGTTATCTCTTTGAGGGTAGGGACAATATTTTTGCCTTTATTTGTATCACCAGTGCTTAGCATAGGGCCTGGTATAGAGTAAGTGCTTTTTGACTGACTGAGGCAGAGTCTACCTACTCTGGAGATCTCTGACCCTGCAAACTTGATATTTCCAAGATTAGAACCCCTGAAGCCCTGAAAGGTGGGAGAGAGCTGGGGATGTGAGGTGAGGTTGGGAAGAAACAGCTGCTCCAACTGGAGGTAAGATTGAATATGGAGGCAGCCTGGTTGCAGTAGAGATGGGGTGAGCCCACCTGACCTGTGAGACTACAACTGGATATTCTGGGGGCAGGCATTGTACAAGTTCCCTGAGGCCCTAGGGTTGGTTCTGGGAACTAGGGGCAGCCTTGTTTATCTATAAACCCAGGAAACCAGGAAGAAGTCTGTACTGAGCCACGCTGGAGGTGAAGGGGTTGTCTAGGCTCCGAAAACTGAGGTTAGTGTGGAATATACACTAGAGCTGCAGAGGAACTTACACATAATGAGGATCACAAGGAAGGAGAACATAGCCAGAAATATCAAGCTGCCTCTGACTATCTTTGGCTTCTGGAAGAATGAAGGTACTTCTTTCTTGGAGAACAACCCTGGAGGATGAGATCAATGTCTGAAAGATTTGAATATTTCACATCTAACCACCATGAGGCTCAGTTTTCTTCCCTGGAAAATGCAGATAAAATAGTAAAAATGCCCCCAAATAAAGGAATAAATTGAAGAAAGGTGAGTAATAGAGCCCCCCCATCCCCACCTTGGAAGAATAACTCCACAGATCATGTATATATCTTGTTTGTACATGGTGATTTACCTGTTGTGTCAATTAGACTGCGAGCTCCTTGATAGTAGATACTGTTTTTGCCTGTCTTTGTATGGTCAGTGCTTAGCACAGTACCTGACCCCTAGTAGGTGCTCAATAAATGCTTTTTGACTTATTGTTGGTAAAGGAAAGCAAAACATGGAAACAAAAAAATCAGGAAAAAAAGAAACTCTAAGTTGACTAACAAACACTATAGAATAGAAGATTCTGAAGTCAAGGTACTGGAAGGAAATAAGTCAACAAGCATTTATTATGTGCTAAGCACTGGGCTAAACAGAGTCCTGAAAAAAATGAGACTAGATCTAGCACAAGATAGCATAATAAATACTAAAGGAAATGAAGGAGATTTCACTAAAAGAAGATATGGTGATATCCCTAATGAGAGATCTATTATCAGAAAAAAAATGAAAGAAGACAAACTGATAACAAAAGTCAACATTGAGGAATTGAAATCATAATTTCATAAAAAGATGATTTTAGATTAAAAATCCATTAGCAGAGGAAAGCATGGCAATCATAATATGACTAAAGGAGCCATTGACTGTTAATGTGTTAATATTTATGTATCTTGCCCTAACAATGTAATTACTAAATTTTAAAGGAAAAGATGGAGGCAACTAGTGGCTCATTGGATAGAGAGCTGGGCCTGGAATTAGGAAAACTCGAGTTCATATCTGGCCACAATAGCTGTGTGACCTTGAGCAAGTCGCTTAGCCTCTGTTTATCTTAATCCACTGGAGAAAGAAATGGTAAACCACTCCAATATCTTTGCCAAAGAAAACCTCATGGACAGTTTGGTCCACAGGGTTGTGAAGAGCCAGACACAACTGAACAGAGACAAAAGGAAAAGATTAATTGAATTATAAAAGGACCTAGATTTTTTAAAAAAAAAGTGTTAATAGGAGAGTTCAACATAACAATTTTGGCATATTCCAATTTAAAATGAAAGGAAATAAAGAAGTTACATAATTATATGGAATATTGAAACAACTTAATTTAAGAAAAATTAATGGGCTTATTATGCAATTTACTGTTATACAAATGTATGGGGTTTAACTTTAGCAAAGTTGCAGTATATAAAATAAACCCATGGAAATCCTCAGCCTTTCTATGTATTACCAATAAAATCTAGCTGGAATAAAGAGAAATTCCATTTAAAGAAACTGCAGAAAATATAAATCACTTGGGAGTCTTCCTTTCAAGAAACACCCAGGAACTATATGAACACAATTATAAATAATCTTTACACACATAAACACAGATCTAAACAATTGGAGAAATATTAATTGCTCATGAGAAGGCTGAGCCAATATAATAAAAATGATAATAACACCAAAATTAATTATTTAGTGCCATACCAATCCAACTACTAAAGTATTACTTTGTGGAGCTAAAAAATAAGTAAAATTCAACTAGAGGGACAAAAGGTCAAGAATATTAAGGGGCTCAATGCAAAACAAATGGGAAAGAAGGGGACCTAATAGTACTGGATCTCAAACGACACTACAAAGCTGTAGTTATCAAAACATTGGGTTCTGGGTAAGAAATAGTCTGATTAGCAGAATAGATTAGGTAGACAATATAAAAACAGATGAGCACGGTAACATAATGCTTGATAAGCTCACAATCCCAGGGTAAGAACTCACTATTTGACAAAAGCTATTGAGAAAACTGCAAAGTGATTTGGCAGAAACTAGATCTAGACTGCTATCTCACAGTCTATACCAAGATAGGCTCAAAATAGGTACATGATTTGGACATAAAGGATGACAGCATATGCAAAGTAGAGGAGCATAGAAGAAATTGCTTGTCAGATCCATGGATAGAAGAAGAATTCATGACCAAGCAAGAAATAGAGAGGTTCACGGGACAGTAGAATCGACAATTTTGTTTACATAAAATTGAAAAGTTTTTGCACAAATAAGACCAATACAGCTAAAATTAGAAGCAGAACATTGAGATGGGGAAATCTTTGCAGCAAGTTTCTCTGTTAAAGGTCTCATTTCTCAGATATGTATAGGGAACAAAGTTAAATTTATCAAAATAAGAGCCTTTCCCCAATTGATAAATGGTCAAAGGATATGAATCGGTTGTCTTCAAAGGAAGAAATCCACGCTATCAATAACCATGTGAAAAAATGTTCTAAATCACAAATAGAAAAATGCCAATTAAAACAACTCTGAGGTATCACTTCACACCCATCAGATCGACTAAGATGACAAAAAAAGAAAATGACATGGTGGAGGGGCTGTGGGGAAATAAGACTTTTTTGCACTGTTTAAGGAGCCGTGAACTGGTTTAACCATTCCGGAAAACAATTTGGCACTATATCCCAAAAGCTGTTAAATCATGCGTATCTTTTTATTTTCCCCATTCTAGAGAGCTGATGGACTCAGAGTGCAGATTGAAGGAGTTTTTCTTCTCTTTTCTTTTTTTGACATGGCTAATACAAGAATTTGTTTCGCATGACTACATATTTATAATGGATTTATTTTTCTTTCCTTCTCAGAAGATGAGGAGGAAGCAGAGGGAGGGAGGAATTTGAATAGAAAATTTTAAAAATTGAATAAATTAACAAAACAAATATATGAGACAGTCACAAAAATTTCTCTAAGGCATAGAGAACAAAAGAAAAAAGTGCCAAAAATCTGGAACCCAGTATAGAATATCACACAATTAAAATAGTAACTAATAAAGAAAATGTGACCAAATGGTTCAGGTCTTGATAGAATCCAAAATGACGTGCTTAATAATGATGGGATCAAAGACTAAACAAAAGTAACAATAGAAAGTATTTTAAAAAAACTAATAATAGCACGTTCTGATTTTTAAGACCGGCATAACTTCTTCAATTGTCAGGAACCTTTGGGAGAAGGAACAGGGTCTCAGGTCTTGGAGGCTAGGAAGAGAAAACAGACTTGGGAGCCAGGAAAGGAAAGGCTGTGGATCGGAATGGGATCTTTGGGTGACATTCACCTCCTAAGCTGGACGAAGCCAGTCTTGTGCTTTAGATGGTTACCCTACGTTGCTTTCTACATGCGGGGATTTATCGACGGCCACAGGAATCGTGCCATATTGTTATGTGGTGCTCAGACTGCTGCCACTGCTGCCTTAGACTAAGAAGGCAGATGGAGGCCAAGGTGGCCGCTGGTGTAGAGGATCCTTGCTCCTGAATCCAGAGTCAGTGTAGGAAAGCAGAGCCTAGAGTCAGAAGAGATCTCAAAGGAGCACGTTGTCCATCCACAGTCTTCAGGGAGGTTAATATCTAAACCAGGGGAGGGAGGCCTTTGTGGCCTCCTAGGTAAAACTAGAGTCCAAGTTTTACAGAACAAATCCCTTTATCAAGGGGATTTGTGCTGTTAAGTTTGGATTCAGCCAAAGGGCCGTGCTTGAGGACCTAGAAGACCACCAGTTCCCTACCCCTGATCTAAACCATCTGTTCCAGACGGTTGTGTTTTACTTAAAGTTTTAGGAAATTGACAGACATTAAGTTCTTAGTAGGTACTAGCCCTGTTTTGGGGGTGAGGGATATGAATAGGGGCTGGACACTATACTAGGGGCTAAGGATATAAAGAAAAAAAAGGAAATCCTTGCATTTGAGGAGTCAACATTCTATATCAGGAGTCAGCATGCACACAAATACATATGAAGTAGCATGGGGAGAGGGTAATATTATTATGGACCTGGAACTAGAAGGGAACTTGGAAGTCATCTAGTCCAAAGCCCTCACTTAAGGAAGGTGAAGCCCAAAGAGGCAAAAGCTTTGAGGAGGAAGTGGCGTTTATGCAGAGCTTTATGGAGACTAGGGATCCTAAGAGACGGAGATGGGGAGGATATGTATTCTAGGCATGGTAGACAGTCTTCCAAGGTACAGACACAGAGATGAAAGGTGTATGAGGAACAGCAAATAGGCCAGTGGATTGGAAGATAACAAGGGAGTGATGCTGTCCACTCAGTCATCAGGCTTAGCAATAAATAAAATGGATCATGGCGAATGGCAACAGGTGCTATCTCTCACGCAGAAAATCCAGGGTCGGCCTCGTCTCTTCCCTGATCGATCTTCACTCAGCTGCCGAAGTGATTTTCCTGAAGTGCAGGTCTGGCCACATCACTCCCTTCAGCTAGTTCCCTATTACCTCCAGGGCAAAATATAAAATTCTCTGATATTTTAAACCTTTCACAACCTGCCTCTTCTCTATCTTTTTAGTCATTAGCCCTCAGTTCAGACTCTATGATGTAGCCACGTTGGTTTTCTTATAGTTCTCACACACACTATTATCTCAAGACTCTGTGCCTTTGCCCTGGAACCCTCCATACCTAGGATACTCTGCCTCTTCACCTGGGCCTCAGTTTCCCTGGCTTCCTTTGAGACTCAGCTCAAATGCCACCTTCTGCAGGAGGTCTTTTCCCCCCCTGACTCCCAGTTGCTAGTCCTTTAAATGCTTTTTGGCTGACAGACCCTAGGGAATAAACCACAGACTGAGGTTTCTGCCTCCCCCTTGTCCCATCCGTGAATGGTCCCTAGGGAGGAAGGTAGAACTGGTCCTCTGGCTTCATTTAACCCATTCGTCCCCATCCCTGACTAGATATCCAGACACCAGTTAAACAGTCAGTCAATAAGCATGTATTAATGGCTCACTATGTACCAGGAATTGTGTTAAGCACTAGGGCTATGAAAAAAGGCAAAAACAATCCCTACCCTCTATGAGTACACATTCTAATGGAGGAAACACATAAATAAATAGATGCATGCAAGATGCATACAGATTAAACAGAAGGTGAGGGCTCTAGCAGCTGAGGGAGCCATAGTCAGATGAGCACAGCTGCCTAGAAGAGGGTCTGGGGGGAAGATGCTATGTAAGGGCAGCTAATGTTCAGTGCCGGGGCTGGCAGGCTCACCTCGGGGCCACAGGAAGATACGCTGGTTGAGTGCTCTGAAATGAGCTTCTTGGCCTTCCTGGCCTTCCATGTGCTCTGGGTCTTCTTGGCCTTCCATGTCTTCTTGGTCCATTCTGTTCATTGTTGGATGCTCTCAGTCCTGATCTTATTGATAGACACTCTGAGAGTCTATGTTTTTCCCCTCATAAACAGTAATGGGAAGTAAAGCTGATACATCCCCTTGGCCTCTATAGGCCTATGACCCTGTGCTGTGTGCAGATGACACCTAACCCCAGATCACTGCTGACTTGGTAGAAACTGCTAGACTGGATTTGAGTTAGAAGGGCTCCAGGAGTCCCTGAATTCCCAGTTGTATTATATTGTCACAGCTTTCCCAGGGACAGTGAATATTTCTCTATTTAAATCTATTTTATTTCTATAGGATATTTCTTAATTGCATATAGTTTCTGTGGATAAACTCCCAATTATTTTATATATTCTATCATTATTTTGAATGGAATTTCTTTTTTATTTTAAATCTCTTTCAGTTGGGTTTTGTTCATAATATACAAAAACACTCGTGGTTTTTGTGGATTTATTTTATATCCTACAACTTTGCTGAAGTTATTGTTTCAATTTTTAGTTGACTCTTTTGGGGATAGAGCATCTACCAGGGGTAGGAAACCTGCAGTTGTAAGGCCACATGTGACTTTCTGGGTCCTTGGGTATGGCCTTTTGACTGAGTCTAAGTTTTACAGAACAAATCCTTTTATTGAGGGGATTTGTTCTGTGAAGTTTGGATTCAAGTTTGAGGACCTAGAGGGCCACATGTGGCCTTGAGGCCTCAGGTTCCCCACCCCTGAATTTTGTAAACCATCATGTGGTCTGTAAAAGGCAGTAGCAATATTTCCTCTTTGCTTGTACTTAGTCCCTCATTTTCTTTTTCTTGTTATATTGCTATAGCTAGCATTTCTAGATATCGAGCCATAGTGTTTGTAAAGGGCATCTTTGCTTTACCTTTAAAGGACTCCAACTTTTACATTTCTCCATTACATACAAGGTTGGCTCTTGGTTGTAGATGGATATCTTAAAGAAAGATCCATTTATTCCAGTACTTTCTAGTGTTTTTCATGATAGCCAATTTTGGATTTTGCAAGAAGTTTTTGTTGTTAGTTTTTTTTGTTTGTTTGCTTGTTGCAGCTACATGTATTGATATGTTTTTAAAATAATTTTTGTTATTAGTATAGTCTATTATGTGTTTAGTTTTTCTTATGTTGAACCAATTTTGCATTCCTGGCATATATCCATCCTGGTTGTAGTGTATAATCTTATCAATGTGTTATTATAGTTTCTTTGTTAATATTTTATTTAACGTTTTTGTATTGATGTTCATTAGGAATATTGCTGTATAATATTCTTTCTCTGATTTGCCTCTCTATGGTTTAGTCATCAAGCCCATATTTGTATCATGGAATGAGTTTGGAAGGATTCTTTCTCTTTCTATTTTTACAGTTTAGTAATATTGGAATTAATTTTTTGAATGTTTATAGAATTCACTTGTAAATCCATTCACTGGTGTTTTTCTATTTGGGAGTTCATTTTTGGTTTGTTCAGTTTCTAAGTAATTTATTTTTTGTTATTTCTTATTCTTGTTCTGAGTAGTTTATATTTTTAAATGTTTGTCTATTTCATCTAAGTTATCAGTTTTTTGACATGTAATTGAGCAAAAATAATTCCTGATAGTTTCATTTATTTGGTTTTCAATTGTTGTTAATTCTCTTTCATTTATGATACAGATGACTTAGTTTTCTTCTCTCTTATTTAAAAAATAAGATAAGCAAACTATTTATCACTTTTCTAAAAAATTCCTAGTTTTTTATCACTTCAATGGTTTTTAAAACTTTTGTTTTCAATTTTGTTAATCTCTTCTTTGATTTTCAAGATCTTTACTTTGGTGTTTATTGTTTTGTTTTGTTTTTTACTTAATTGCTTTTCTAATTTTTTTTTAGCTACCCACTTCATTGATGTTTCCCCCCTCTCTTTTGTTGATGAAATTGTTTAGGGATAAAAATTTCCCCTAAAGACTGCTTTAGTTTCATCCCATAAGAATTGTTATACTGACTCGTTGTCAGTTTCTTTGATTAAATGATTTTATTTCTATTATTTATTCTCTGACCACTAAGCCTTCTGATTTTTAATCCTCCTTTTCTCTGTTATTTTCTGATCTTTTCTTCTCTCTCAAAACTGCTTATTTCTTTCCTCTTTCAAGAAGTTTTCCTTGACTGACCCCAACTTATTCCAAAGCATTTCCACCTTCTGGGACATAGCTGCATGCATTGGAGCCTAGGGACTAATGAGGCCAAGGTCACAGATTCAGATTCTGTGAATGCCAGGTGACTATTCCTAGAAAGGGGAAAAAACCTGTTTTATGGTCAAAGACTTGACACCTGGTCCCAGGCACACCCTGGCTCCTCAACCTGGTCTAAATGTGTGCTACGGACCAAAGAGAGGAATGGAATATGTGTAGTTTGGTGCTGTCTGTCCTCATATGGATATGTGTTTCTATCAATTCAGGACAATGTGCATCATACTGCAACCCATCCCAGCCTGCCATCCTCTTTGAGTTTTATGCATTTCTTCTCATCCATTCACCACAATGGGGCTACCCAATTGTCTAGTGGCCCTCTTTGATTTCTTCTGATATCACAGGAGTACCAGTGGAGTACCCTGGCTGTGCACCTGTCAACCTTTCCCCTGTGACTGGTCATTCTTTTTGTCATACATTTCACTAATGACACCTTTTACTCCTGGTCTTCATTACATTAATTACAACCACCAGTGGACCTCTCCATTGTTTTCTCTTAGTATATTCATTTTTAATTCTTTGAACACTGTAGCATACCATGTCTCAAAAAATCAATGTCATCAACATCGATAGTAGTGAAAAAGATGGACCTTTGCTTTCATTGGAAGCTTGGGATCATTAAAAGAGCTTGTTGATTTCCCAAAGGCGATCCAGTCCATTCTCTCCTTTGATTCCACTTTGGGCCTAAATCATTGTCCATTTTTTTCTGCTTACTCCATAGGGCCCCCACTCCCACATCATTGTCTATTTTTTGCTGCCTACCCTATAGACATGCATATCCATGTACACACCAATGGAAAAGTTCTGTAAGTTACTCATACAAATGCTTGCAGTAATCTGGTCCATAGACATTCTTCATCCACTTGGTTTTTCCTCTGTAGCAGGGATACTAAACCTGAGATCTGTGAACTTTAAAAAATAGACATTTTTTGATAACTGCATTTCAATATAATTGGTTTCCTTTTTAATCTTATGTATTTTATCTTATGCATTAAAAACCATCTTCTGAGAAGGGGCATAACATTTCACCAGGCTCTGCCCAAGGAGAATAGGTTTAAAAAAAAAAGATTCAGAATTCCTGCTTTATGGATGATCAAACCCAGTTCCTTTGAGTGGTTCTAGATCTCTCCCCAGAAGGTGCTGCAATGTTCTGGATGAAATCAGAACATTGTCATGTGCATCTTTATTATTTAAAATAGAACACACACATAAGTCACGGTTTATTTACTAAGAGTAAATCAGATGGGTTTTCTTTGTCTATGAGCAAGAGATAATGAACAGCCACGAGTAGTAAACTCTATCGGGAGTTAGAAAACCTGGGTTGAAATTCTGGTCTCTTCCATTTACTCACTGGGTGAGCTTGGATGAATCACTTTCCCATTTGAGCCTCAGTTTCACTATCTGTAAAATGAGTATGTTGGACTCAATGATCTTCAAGTCTGTAAATCTATGATCCCATGACCCAAAACTACTAGGTCTAAGCTAGCCATGTCTCAGACCAAGGATGGTGTTTGAGGGGGTGCAGCCCTGAGCCAGAGGAACGTTTAGACACGTACTGGCTTTCCCATGTCTGGAGAGAGTCATCTGCTCCCACTCCATCCTTTTGGTCTCCCTTGCCTTAAAGGTATGGAATGGGCTGTAATTATAGGTTTAGTTCTATTCTCTAGATAACCTGAGCATTAAAATCCACAATACGGTTCCTGAAACACCCAGTTCTGCTGAAATGAGGTGGCGCCAAGTAGCCCGAGAAGAGTCCGGGGGCAGTAGGGAAAAAGAGAAGTACTGGCCAAGGTTTCCATTTCCCCACTATCCCTGTTCCTCTTTTCCCCATGTGTCCAAACAGGCCCCCAGACAAAGCCTTGCATAGGAAACCTTGGTTGGGAAATAATTAACTTTTTGTAAAGAAGTGACCTCAAACAGGGTCACACAGCTGGTAAAATCTGATCTAGGCTTTGAACTTGTCTTCAGATCCAGCACTCTGATCACTAAATGGCCTAGCTGTCCAGCTAAACCCTTCTGCTGACTCTTCCTCACCACCCAGTGCAACACACCCCTTAAGATTTTCTTGTCTCTGTGATGAGTCCACAGAACAGAGCTGATTCTCCATCTTTACCTCTACCAGTGGGCCTGCCATCTGGTGTACCATGCACGGCAACTGGCACAGAGTAACCACTTTATAAATGCTTGTTTCCTTCCTGCCTGCCATGATGTCCCTAACTGGATGGGAATAAAAACCTGATGGAAGCTAGCTGGTGGCTCAAGCACAGGGTTGTTTCTTGAAATGTGGTAGAAGTAACTCCTTCTTCAGCCATTTTCTCATGGCTTTCTGGTTTTAGATGGACTGTGCAGAATTTAGGGCTGGGTTAGACTTCCATCGGTATTGAAAGGGGTCAATGTTACTCGAACCCTGTTGTTCCTTGCCCCCCTATAACCAGCAATATCTATGTGATCATGGACAAGTCACATTTTCTAAGCCTCAGTTTCTTCACTTATAAAATAGAGACAATAAACTTTTGCTACCTCTCAGTCAACAAGAATTTATTGTCTCCTATGACACTGGGAATACAAAGGCAAAAATGAAAGTCTGAATATTCTTTTTTGTAAGCATTATAGCACTATGTGAATGTAAGCTATTATTACGTGGACTGAAGTATTCTCTAGTTTTTATTCTAATGGCCTCTTGAGAGATAAGAGATATTTGGCCTGAGGATTGAGATATTTATAGCTTAGACTTGGAACACCAGGGATGCATGGGGTGTTCATGAGGACTAATACCACTAGTGTGAGAGATTGCTGGACCCTTTTCAGGGCTGCTTATCCACCTTTGGTGTCCACCTGTCACCCAACTCTCGTCTGTGACTCCAAGAAGCTGTAGCATGCGCAGCAGCCACATCCTGGTGAACTGTCTCAGCAGATGGGCTAAACCAGGTTGAGGGTAACCAACAGGCCTCAAACCCATTGGTGGGTTACAGGGGTGTCTACCCCAAGTATGTAAAGACTTCCCCCGGTGGAATGAGTGGAAGAGAACAATTTGTTCCAATAGCCATGAAGAGCTTGGTCAGGCATTGAAAATGCCAAGGTCACCCATTGCTTTCTGAGCCATCACCAGTCTTCTTTACTTTTGTCCTGCCACTAGACTTTGATAACTCTGGAAGACAGAGTGAGGCTGATGACTTTGTGCAGCTCTGCCTCACTTATATCCAAAGTCATGCAGGAATCAAGACATCATCGCATGACGTCATTGGGCCTCTTTGAAAATGAAGGACAAATGACATCAACAATGGAACAACAGCTAGGACGTTTGAGGCTGTCCTTAGAGTCATTCCAGAGGTCTGGTTGGTTAATAGCAAAGGCCACAATTTAGTTTGTGTGGTACAGCACCTCTGTGTCACTGCTCCTCCATCTTGAACTTACTCTCCTAGTGAGTTACATAGTAACTTGCTCCTTAGAGAGACAATCAACAATTCTCAGGCTTCTAGCTACTACTGTAGTTCATAAGCCCCCACAAGGGTGCTTCCCATCAACATTCATCCAGGTAGACTTAAGTTTTTAGTCATTTTTCAGTTGCATCTAACTCTTCATGACTCCTTTTGGGGTTTTCTTGACAAAAATACTGGAGTGGTTTGCCATTTCATTTCCCAGCTCATTGAACAGATGAGGAAACTGAGACAAATAAGGGGGAGTGACTTGCCCAGGGCCACACAGCTAGTAAGTGTGTGAGGCCAAATTTGAACTCAGGAAGATGAGTCTTTCTGACTTCAAGCCCTGTGCTCTATCTACTGTGCTGGCTAGCTATGGAGCTAGCTAGGTTTTAGAAAAGGCATTTACTAAGATTGTATGAGTTCAGTTGATACAAAACATTCCTCTCAAAAGCCTGGTTATACTTTCCCACAAAAACATGCAGCATCAGTGAAAAGAATGAACTCAAATTACAATCCATACAGGAGAGTAAGAGTAGGATACACCAACGGCAAAAGTTGAGTTCGCAACTTCTATTACTAGAAATCCTTTGTCCCTGTCCTCATAAAGCTCTTTGCTGGGTGGAATGCTCAATTGGGTTTCTAGGGTGTGCCCCTTTCTGGAGTCCATAGCTGGCGCTTTTCTCTGCTATTGAGGGTCATATTGCCTAAAGCTGCTTTCTTCCTTGGGTGACTATCTCTCCAGAAGGAAAGTCTAGGGAGCTTGCTTTCATGAGAATCATGATGATAAACCTCCAACAATATGGCTTCTGATTTTATCAACCAACCGAAACTATTCTCTTCAAAGTTACCAATAATTTCTTCATTTCCAAATCTAATGACTTTTTCTCAGTCCTCACCCCTTGTTTTCCCAGTGCTTAGCACAGTGTCTGGCATACAGTAGACATTTTTTAGGAAGACTCAAAGTTTATTAAGCATCTTTAGTGTGAAGGGCACAGTGCTGGGCATGGTGCCAAGATACAAAGATCAACACAGATAAACATTTTGCCCTTGGAATGGCTTAAAGCCTAATAAGGGTTTATGTAATACCAAAAAAAAAAAAAACAAAAAACAAACAAAAAAAACCCAACAATGTAAAATAAAGGAACAATGACCTCCATTCTTTACTGTTCCAAGTCTTGACGAGCTGTCATTCCCACCTGCCCCTAAATGTAATTAATATCAGTTTTCAATTAGGAGACCATCCATTTAATGATCAGATATTTCAATCGCTATTAATTAACTCTCCGTAGAGGATTAACAACTCAAATAGATATGGGAAGTCACTTGATTAATACTTCTAGTACAGATGAGTTTTCAGTTAATAGACCATCCTTTTAATTCAATTCAACCATAATTAATTTGTTCTCCACAAAGAACCCTAACAACCCAAATAGATATGGGAAACCAATTCATGAATATTTTGAAAACAGGGCAATCCCTGAAGGTGATGAATTAATTACTTTTGATTTGCTGAAAACCTATAAAATAGGGGCTAGCTATCCCTATCTTTATTACTTTGTATCTCTAATTTCCCCATTCCCAATTTGCCTGGGAATCCAAGCTGTCAGTAACTATTGTAGCCATAGTACTAATAACCAAGGACCCTGGGCCCCAATGTCCAGCTGGGCTTTATCTCCATGACACATAAATCTTATTGAGTAGATGACTAAAGTTACAAAACAGTCACATCCTCAAGAACTTTTCCTATATGTGAAAAGCTTCACATAGTATGAGGTTTGGTTTTACTCAAGCCTCTTCCTTTCCAAGACAGAAAACACAAAACCAAGGAATGTTTTTTTTTTTTTTCCTATTAAGATGAAAACGATGAAACTCAGAACTGGATCACTTGGTCCTTTCTCTTCTTATGTCCTCCTAGTTCAAAATGTTTATACCTGTTAATGGCAAACATCCTCTTAAACCTGCAGTTGGGTTGCACACATTCAGGCCTTGCTATAATCTTTTTTGTGGTCTTTGCCTTTTTCCATGAAATTGGTTTTGTTTGACCACCAGAGCCACTCTGCTTCTGATTGTAACGCCTTTTCCCCTGTGCGTACAGGGAATCCTTACCTTTCTTGTACCGCATCACTTTTTGAGACTGGTGCTTGCTGTCCTTTTTGCAGAAAGTTCTGCGGGTTTTAGGGATGTTCAACAAAGGGCAGGGTTGTGCTTCCAACTGGACTTCTCTGATATCCAGGCCGTTGGGATTCCTTGGCTGAGCGCTTATGGGCGAGTGCTCGGCCAAGGACTACAACAAGCTGAAGAAGATGACTGGCTTGGAAGGATGATGGCGGAAGACTGCCATAGAGTAGACATTTAATAAATACTTATTGTCTGAATGTCTGACAGCAGAGAGATAAAGCAGGCTCTGCTTTGTCCCAAAAGAGAGAACTAGGAGCCTTGGGTAAAAGAGATACAGATTTAGATGTGCTGCAACAAAAAACTTTTTAACAATTGGGCTATGGGAACATTTTCCCACAGTTTTAAGGGATGGGATTTACACACTCTTGAGTTCTTTAAGTGATTCAGTGAAGGGTAAATGCAAAGATAATACAGGAATATGTCAGTGATTTCAGAGGAAGAAGAGAAAAGAGGGATCTCTAGGGAATGAACTCATTTTCCCCCCAGCAAAATATGAGGCAAAGTCCCCACCTGAGAGGGTGAGGGAAGGGAACTTTCTGTGAGGCTTGAGCAGAGATTTTGTAGGGAGTAGGATTGTTGTTCGTCCTTTATTTTCAAACATGCATGAATTGGATTTAAGCGAAACAGAGTTGTGCAGAGTCATTGGCCTCTCTCACTCTTCCAGAGTCATCAGGGTCCAGGGGCAAGACAAAGTCAAGATAACAGGTGATGGCTGAAGATGCAGTGGACGACCTTGGCATCTTCAATGTTTGACCAAGCTCAAAGTGCTCCACAGCAGCTACTTCAGCTGTCCTCATGGCCATTGGAACAAATTGTTCTCATCCATCCATTCTGCCAGGGGAAGTCTTTACATGCTTGGGGTAGATACTCCCTAACTCACTGATGGGTTTGAGACCAGTTGGTTATCCTCAACCTGGATTAGCCCATCTGCAGATTTCACCAAGGTATGGCTGTTATGCATGCCAAAGCTTCTTGGAGTCACAGGTGAGAGTTGGGGGAGATGGACATCAAAAGTGGATGAGCAGTCCTGGTAAGGGCTTTACTACACCTTCACACTAGAGTTGCTAGTCCTTCCTGAACACTCCATACACCCCAGCTAGGTGGCGAAGTAAATAGAATGCCCAGCATAGAGTCAGTAAGACTCATCCTCCTGAGCTCAAATCTGGCCTCAGACATTTACCGTGTGACCCTGGGCAAGAACCTTTACCCTGTTTACCTCAGTTTCCTCATCTGTAAAATGAATTGGAGAAGGAAATGAAAACCACTCCAATATCTTTGCAAAGAAAACCCCAAATAGGGTCACAAAGAATCAGACATGACTGAAAAACAACTGGTGAGTGGGGTAACAGATCAATTAAGTAAAAGCAAAAAGATTGCCCTCCTGTAATGAGGGCACAAGTGAAATAATTTAATAGGAATTTCTAGTGGACTTGGTCACCATGATTTTTTTCCTAGCAACTAGCTTCTGGTAGTATGGGAGTAGGTAAAAGGCAGATGATGGGAGTAATCCAAAGTTGGGGGTTAATAAGCCATAATTAGCAATAGGAAAAGGAGGAAATGTCTACATGTCAGCCCTTCAGATAACAGAAGACAATTACTGTGCTTCTCTCCACCCCCCCCCCAGGTATTTTCTTTTTCAGGTGAAACATCTCCAATCCCTTCATACGAGCTTCCTATGGCATAGCCTCAAGTCTCTACCAACATGATTCATTTCTTCTGGACACTGTCCAGCTCATCCATGTGCTACCTAAATCTGGGACCCTAGAAGAGAGCATCATGATAAGGAGGAGAGGAATGATGATGATATATTTATATAATATTTAAGTTTATATTTATTTTATGTAATTTATATAATACCTAATATATAGAATACATTTATATAATGCCTACTCCATGCCAGGCATTATATTGAGCACTTTATAAAGAGGATCTCATTTATAAGTTCAGTGTTTGGGCTGACATATGCCCTAACTGCCTCACATTGAATGTCCTGCCATGTAAACTCTCCAGACCTTTTCATAAAAATCTCTCTCTAGCCATACCTTTCACATGTTGTCCACTCAAAGTTATTTCTTTGAATCCAAATGTAAGACTTTGCATTTCTTGCTATCAAATTTCATTTAAAAAACATTTGACACAATATTCTAGCCTGTCATAATCTTTTAAGATCTTGACTGTCTTCTCTTGTATATTGATACTATTTGCAAATTTGATAAGCATGCAATCTATGTTTTTATACAAGTCATTGATGAAGATTTTAAATAGGACAAGACCAAGCACAGATCCCTGAGGCATTCCACTTAAGACTTCATTCTAGGTTGACCTCAAACCATTAATGATCACTCTGGTCCATCCAGCCATTCAATTTTTTCTAACCCATTGAATTGTACTATTGTCTAGCACACATCTCTCCATCTTTTTCAAAAGAATAACATGAAACAATTTCTTAAACGTTTTGCTAAAATCTGGGTAAATTCCTACAGTATTTCTCTAATAGGTCAAACTAATGATCTACTCCCCTAAATACATACATACATACATACATACATACATACATACATATATGAAGGAATGTGTAGCACTCCCCTCCGCCCCGAGCTTCTTATCTCAATTTAACACTCATAAGCTGCAGATTTGGTACCCAGAAGGTGACTTACTACCTCAAGTTCAAGATGCTCTGTAGGTCCTCACTTCAAAAACTATACCTCAAAAGCCCTTTCTGGTATGCTTACTGTTAACAGTCATCCTTTCCATCTACTCTGTATACTTCTTGTAATGTAACTAATTATTTACATGATGTGTCTGTCATCAGAATGCAAACTTTTTGAGCAGAGGAACTATATTGGCCTTTTTTGTATCCTTCATTGTTTAGTCATTTCGCTCATGTCCAACTCTTTGTGAGTCCCTTTTGGGGTTTTCTTGGCAAAGATACTATATTTATTATTATATACTATACTGTATTTGCTATGTCCTTTTCCAGCTCATTTTACAGATGAGGAACTGAGACAAACAAGGTTAAATGACTTGCCCAAGGTCACATAGCTAGTATCCGAGGCCAGATTTGAACTCATGAAGAAGAGCCTTCCTGATTCCAAGCCCAGTGCTCTATCCACTGTGCTGCCTAGCTGCTCAGATTGTATCCTCCACACTTACTGTAATGCCTGCCATGTAGTAAGGTACCTTCATAAAGGATTGTTGACTGACTGGTGGGCTAAACACAGTTAACCATTATGGCTGATTAGGGGAAGCCACCCAGATGATTTCTCCCCAAATTCACCTTCAAACAACTTTAAAATAACATCTCTGATCAATTTTTTGAGTAGAAAAGCCAACAAAAGATCAGGGTGAGACATTTTTCCCAGCCTAAGAAAAATTAAGAGGTCAGTAGAAGAAGTCTGTGTCACTGTGGTAGAAGTGTATCTGGAGTCCGCACTTGGGGTGGGAGCAACAGCGGCGTTAGCTTCAGCAGCTCTCAGCCCAGAGATGGCAAGAAGAGGTCAGGCAACTGGTCAGAAAGGGATTACGGGGGATCCTTTGCTGACACCAGGTATAGCTGGTGCTGATTGGCAACTCTATTGCCCAAAAGCAATTCTTGGTCACAGTTCCAGGGTGGAGAGGAGCACTTGTGGTCAGTCACAAGGGAGTAGGGGTCCTGGTCACAGTTCCAAAGGAAAGAGGAACACTAGCGCTTGTGGCTGTAGCAGAACAGGATCCCTTTCAGAATAAGAACCATAGTTCAGACCAGGAGAGCAATGACCATACTCTCCCAGGATCACACCACCTTGGAAGCACGCAAAACTTGCAGACCCCCAGAAATAGCTCTGAAGACAGCAGTGTAAAGAAAACCTAAAGCCTGGAATAGTACCTCTGAACTCCCAGGTGAGCAGAGGCCAATTTTAACATAAAGTTCAAAGTTTTAAAAAAGTATGCTGGAAAATGATCACACAACACTAATAACATAAAAAGCTACTATAGTGGCGGGGAAGACCAAGACATAAATTCAGAATCAGACAATGTGGAAAGAGCCACAAAAAATTCTCAAAGAAAAATTCTAATGGGTCCCAAGCCCAAGAATTCCTGGAAGACTCAAAGAAGGAGATAAGAGTGGTAGAGGAAAAACTGGGAAAAGGAAAGAGTGATGCAAGAAAATTATGAAAAGAGAATTAACAGGTTAGTTTTTAAAAAGACACAAAAACACTGAAGAAAATAACACCTTAAAAACAGAATTGGCTTAATGGTAAAAGAGGCAAGGGCAGTTACATGGTGCTGGGCCTGGAGTCAGAAAGACTCCTTTCCCTGAGTTCAAATATGGCCTTAGACACTTACTAGCTGTGTGGCCCTGGGCAAGTCACCTAACTCTGTTTGTCTCAATTTCCTCATCTGTTAAGTGAGTTGGGGAAGGAAATGGTACAGATGGCAGAGTAAAGGCAGGGACCCACCTGAGCTCTCCTCAAACCCCTCCAAATACCTTTAAAAATGACTCTAAACAAATTCCAGAGCAACAGAACAAAAAGATGGAGTGAAACAAATTTCCAGCCCAAGATAACTTGGAAGATCAGCAGGAAAGGTCTGCTGCACCAGAGTGAGAGAGGAGCACAGTCCAGCATAGGTACAGATGGGGCCCCACCAAATCCAGAGCAGGCCTTGGGGCAACTGAATCACTGGCAGCAGTGGCAGTTTCCAGACCTCTCAGCCCATAGACACCAAAGACAATTTAGAAGGTGAGCAGGAAAGGTGTGTCACACCTAGGCGAGACCGGAGTGCAGTGCAGTGCAGTACAGCGTAGGCCATGCAAGCACAGCTTGGGCCCCAGCAGACCAGGAGCAGGCCTTGGGAGTGACTGAATCAGCAGTGGCAGTGGCAGTAGCATCTCTGCTCCCAGAGCTCTCAGCCCACAGATAGTAAGGGGGTTGAACGACTAGTCAGAAGGAGATTACAGGGGTCTCTTTGCTAGCACTGGGGCAGGATTCTGTTGCTTTGCCCATACTCGGGTCCAGGTCACAATCCTGGGTGGCAGTTCCAGGGTGAGGAGGAGCCCTAGCACAGCTGAGCTTGTGGCCACAGTGGAGGGAGGACCCTCCCCACAGTTCCAGGGCAGAAAACAGTGCTTATGGACACTCATAGTCCAGAGCATAGGCCAGGAGAGCAGTAAACACCTCTCCTTAGATCATACCACCTTGGAAGAACTGAAAACTTACAGGTTCCTAGAAGTATCTCTGAAAACAGTTGCACAAAATCACCCCGGAAGCAGAGCTCTACTTTAACAAAGACTTAAAAAGTCAAGTAATAGGCTGAGGAAATGAGCAAACAATGGGGGAAAAAACTCTGACTATAGAAAGATGCTATGGTGACAAGGGAGATCAAAACACACACTTGAGAGAAAACAACAAAGTCAAAGCTTCTACATCCAAACCATCCAAGAAAAATATGAATTGGTTTCAGGCCTTGGAAGAAGTCAAAAAGGATTTTGAAAATCAAGTAAGAGAAGCAGAGGAAAAATTGGGAAGAGAAATGAGAGTGATGCAAGAAAATCATGAAAAATGAGTCAACAGCTTGGTAAAGGAGACACAAAAAATTACTGAAGAAAACAACACCATAAAAAGCAGACTAGGCCAAATGGTGAAAGAGGTCCAAAAAGTCAATGAGAAAAATGCCTCAAAAGGTAGAATTGACCAAATGGAAAAGGTAGTCCAAAGGCTCGCTGAAGAAAAGAATTTCTTAAAAATTAGAATGGAGCAAATGGTATCTAATGACTTCATGAGAAATCAAGAAACAAAACAAAGCAAAACAAAACAAAAAAAAAACCAAAAGAGTGAAGAAATAGAAGACAATGTGAAATATCTCACTGAAAAAACAACTGACCTGGAAAATAGATCCAGGGAGGTAATTTTTTAAGAAATAATTTTAAAATTACTGGATTACCTGAAAAAAGAACCTAGACATCATCTTTTAAGAAATTATCAAGAAAAACTGCTCTGATATTCTAGAACCAGAGGGTAGAATAGACATTGATAGAATCCGCCAATCACCCCCTGAAATAGATCCTGAAATGAAAACTCCCAGAAATATTATAGCCAAATCCCACAGTTCCCAAGTCAAGGAGAAAATATTACAAGCAGCCAGAAAAAAACAATGCCAGTAAAATGGAGCCACAGTCAGGATAACACAAGATTTGGCAGCTTCTATGTCAAAGGATCAGAAGGCTTGGAATATGATATTCCAGAGGGCAAAAGAGCTAGAATTACAGCCAAGAATCACCTACCCAGCAAATCTGCGTATAATACTTGAAAGAGAAGAATGAATATTCAGTGAATTTCAAGCATTCATGAGAAAAGACCAGAGCTGAATAGTAAATTTATTTTCAAATACAACACTCAAGAGAAGCATAAAAAGGTAAACAGAAAAGAGAAATCTTAAGGGACTTATTAAAGTTAAATTGCTTATGTTCCTACATAGGAAGATGACATTTATAACTCATAAAACTTTTCTCATTATTAGGGTAGTTGGAAGGAGTATATATAGATAGAGGGCACAGATTGAGTTGAATATGAAGAAATGATATCTGAAAAATAAAATTAAGGGGTGAAAGAGGAATGTATGGGGAGAAAAAGGGAGAGGTAGAAAGGGATAAATTATCTCACATAAAAGAGGCAAGAAAAAGCTTTTACAGTGGAGGGGAAGTGGGGGAGGTGAGGGGGGAGTGAATGAACCTTACTCTCATCAGAATTGGCTCAAAGAAGGAATAACATACACACACATTTGGCTATAGAAATCTATCTTATCCTACAGGAAAGTAGGAGGGGAAGGGGATAAGAGAAAGGGGGGTGGTGAGAGAAAGAAGAGCAGATTAGGGGAGGGGGTAGTCAGAAGCAAAATACTTTTGAGGAAGGACAGAGTGAAAGTGGAGGGAGAATAGAATAAATGTAGGAATAGGGTGGAGAGAAATACAGGTAGGAATAGTAAATGTGAAAAAAACATTGAAGCAAGTTTCTCTGATAAAGGCTTCATTTCTCAAATTTATACAGAACTGGATCAAATTCATAAAAATGAGAGCCATTCCCCAACTGATAAATGATCAAAAAATATGATCAGTTTTCAGATGAAGTAATCAAAGCTATCTATAGTCATATGAACAAATACTCTAACTCATTATTGATAGGAGAGATGCAAATTAAAACAATTCTGAAGTACTACCTCATACCTATGATTGGCTAATAGGACAACAAAGGTACATGACAAATGTTGGAGACATTAATGCATTGTTGGTGGAATTACAAACTGATTCAACCGTTCTGCAGAGCAATTTGGAATTATAAAACCACGCATGCTCTTTGAGCTAGCAATGGAACTACTAGGTCTGTATCCCAAAAGAGAAAAAAAAAAGGAAAACCACCTATATGTACAAAAATATTTATAACAGCTCTTTTCTGGGGGCAAAGAATTAGAAATTGAGGGGATGCCCATCAATTGGGGATTGACTGAACAAATAGTGATATGTGATTATGATGGAATACTATTGTACTGTAAGAAGTGATGAACAGGATGCTCTCAGAGAAACCTGGACTTATATGAGCTGATGCAAAGTGAAATGTACAGTGTACAAAGTAACAGCAATATTGTTGGATGATCAGCTGTGAATGGCTTAGTTATTCTCAGTAATACAATGATCCAAGACAGCTCTGAAGGACTTATGATGAAAAATGCTATCCATCCCCAGTCAAAGAACTGGTAGTGTCTGAATGCAGATCAAAGAATACCTTTTTTTAACTTTCTTTATTTTTCTTGAGGATTTTTTGTCTGTTTTCTTTCATAACATGACTATTATGGAAGTGTTTCGCATGACTACACATGTATAACCTATACTTAATTGCTTGACTTCTCAATGAGGAGATGGGGTGGGGAGGGAAGAAGGGAGAGAATTTGGAACTCAAAGTTTTAAAAATGAATGTTAAAAATTGTTTTTACATGTAACTGGCATAAAATAAAATAGTTAAGGAAAAAGAAAAAAAAATAGAGGGTTTTCAAGCACTCCTGATGAAAAGACCCGACCTGAATAGAAAATTTGACATTCAAACGAAGACTCAAGAGAAGCAAAGAAAGGTAAACATGAAAGAGAAATTATAAGGGATTCAATAAAGTTAAATGGTTTACATTCTTATATGGGAAGATGATACATGTAACTCCTAAGAATGTTATCATTATTAGGGCAGTTAAAAGGAATTTACATAGACAGCATGAGTGTGAGCCAATTATGTCGGAATGATCTCCCCAAAAAATGAAGAGGTGAGAAAGAGGAATGCAGTGGAAGAAGAGGAAACCAGAGGCATAATGGGGATAAAATATCACGTAAAAGAGGTGCACAAGGAGGAGCTTCTGCAGTGGAGGGCAAAATGGGAGGGGGTGGTGGGAAATACTTGAACCTCATTCCTTTCAGAATTGGTTCAAAGAGGAAAGTATATATACACACTCGTTTGTGTAGAAAAATGTAACTTATCCAATAGGGAAACAGAAAGGGAAGGGGATAAGAGAAAAGAGGTGTGTGTGACAAAAGAGAGTGGATTAAGGGAGGCAGTGGTTAGAAGAAAAATAGACTTTTGAGGAGGAACGGTATAGAAAGAGAAAGGAAGATACACAAGAAAATGGGATGGAGAGAAATACACAATTAGTAATTATAACTGTAAGTACGAAGGAGATGAGCTCATCCATAAAATGGAAGCAGTAGCAGAATGGATTAGAAAGCAGAATCCAAAATTATATTGTTTACAAGAGACACTTGAAACTGAAAGACACACAGAGTTAAAGTGGTGGAGTGGAATCTGGTATGTTACAGGTGAAGTAAAGAATGCAGGGGTAGCAATCCTGATCTCAGGAAAAGCGAAAGCCAAAACAGACCTAATGAAAAGAGATCATCAGGAAAACTACATTTTGCTAAACGTTACCAAAGACCATGAAGTAATATAAAAAAAAAATTAAGGTCAAGTTTCTCTGATAAACACCTTACTTCTTAAATATGTCCTGAGTATAGAACTGAGTCAAATTTATAAAAATGAGTCATCTTGCAATGGTCAACGGATGTAAACAGGCAATTTTCAGATGATGAAATCAAATCTAGCCATAGGTATATGAAAAATGATCTAACTCACTATTGATTAGAGGAAGGCAAATTCAAACAACTCTGAGGTATCACCTCATACCTATCAGAAATGACATGCTGGAGGGGATGTGGGGAAAATAGGTATACCCTAATCATTCTGGAGAACAAATTGGAATTAGGCCCAAAAGGTTATAAAATTGTGCATACCCTTTGACCTAGCAATAGTGCTACTAAGTCTGTATCCCAAAGAAGTCAAAGAAAAGGGAAAAAGGCCTACTTGTACAAAAGTATTTGTAGCAGCTCTTTTCATGGTGGCAAAGAATAGGTGATCAAGGGGATGGAGAATGGCTGAACAGGTCGTGCTATATGATTGTGATGGAATGTTATTGTGCTATAAGAAATGATGAGGGGGGTGGTTCCAGAAAAAAAAACATGGCAAGACCTAAATGAATTGATGCAAAGTGAAGTGATAAGAACCAGGAGATCATTATGCACAGTAACAACAATATTGTAATGATGATTAACTTTGAAAGACCTCACTCTGATCAATATAATGATCCAAGACAATTCCAAAGGACTTAAGATGAAAAAATGCTACCCATCTCCAGAGAAAGAACTAATAAACTCTGGGTATGAATTAAAGTATAATTTTCTCAGTTTCCTTAGTTTTCTTGCTTTTTTGGAAATATGACTATATAAAAATATGTTTTTCATGATTTCATATATATAATTGATATCATATTACTTGCCTTCTCAGTGGGTGGGTGAGGGGGTGAGAGGAAGAGAATTTGGACCTCAAAATTTTAGAAGAAAAAAATGTTCAAAATAAATAATAAATTGAAATATTAAAAATATCAAATCTGCCTCTCTACAACTCCTAAAAAAAAGGTAAATGGAGCTTGGCCTGCTAATTCTTAGCTCTTCCTCCCATCCCCTTCACCAGCTCTTATCCTTCTGGTCTTAGAGTGGGCCAAACAAGGCAGAGCTTCACTGTGCCCAGGTGGCTACAAATTTTCTTGCCAGCCTCAAGTCACAGGACGCCCAGCCTCTGTTCCTATTCTTTACCTTTTACTACGTGGGATGTACTCAGGCCCAAGGTGGACTTGGGTTAGCATATATCCTAGGTGTGAGGCATAGTTAAGAACATCAGGGCAATTTCCCTTTTCTGGGGTACACCAATATCAAAAAGAGCCAAAGGTGTTTGGCAAGGGTTGTGCTTCATTTCCTCCTAAAAACCCATCCTTTCTGAAGTACTGACATTCTCTTGATCTACTATTTTGCCTTGGGGTAAGTTATGGGGAGAGGAGTTCAGGGGTGTCCAGAACTGTTCGCAATCCCAGTATAGAACTTCCAGTGAGGAACCACCTGTAATAAGACCAACAGGTAACTGCTCTAGAGTGTTAGAAGGTTGGCTGGGGCAGTGAGAGATTAAATACCTTAAGTAGGGTCATGTGGTCAGTTTATGTTAGAGATAGGACTTGTCTCTCTTGGTTTTCAAAATTGTTTTTATCAATGACTGAATAAAGGTATAGCTGGCATGCTCAGCATATCTATAGATGATACAGTACTGGGAGAGAGCTCTGGAGGGAAGAGCCAGGATCCAGAAAGATTTGTTGGGCTAGAATGTTGGTCCCATCAAATTATATGAAATTGAGTAGGGATAAGCGTAAACTTTGGTTTGTAAAATCAATTTCCAAAACTGTCGGGACTAGAGAGGTCTTCCCTGTGGTTTGAAGGGGATGCTGGATGCAAAGTAGATGCTCAGTAAAGACTTAGTGAATGAATGAACATTGCCTCTAAGAGGAAGCTACAAAAAACACCACCCCATGTATACCATCCCCATCCATTCCCCCCACCTCACACACACACCATGACTCTACTTGATAAGCCAGTCTTCAAACAGAAGATACAAGAAAGAGCAGATTGGGAGAAACAACAATTTATTCTGATTGTCCTATGTTTTGCACCTATATTTCCATAAGGAAATATAAATAGAGGAGGGAGATGTTAAGCAAAAGGAAAGGAGGTAGCAGAAAGGGATGGGAGATACTAGCTTCTAAAGAGGGCAGAGAGATGTTTCTGAGAGGGCCAAGAGCCAATAGCCAGTCACACAGGACTTGACTCTGTGGTGTCAGAATCCCAACTTTTTTCTCTGGCTTGTAATCTCTAGGCTTTGAACTTGCAGATGTAGAAGTTATTGTTCACACAAGACTGATCCTTCCATTTTCGGAATCCTAGAGAGAGATGTAGTCCATCAGGTTGGCCAGAAGATAGGCTGGAGCTTCTGGCCCCTACTCTAGTAACCCTGGTCCCCAGCCTTGTGATTCATCCCCCAAACCACTAAGAAACCTATAACCATTATTACACCTACACTATTACCAATTACAGGCTTGTGGTCACAAGAAGAACAGAAAGAAGCAAAACTATCTCCCATAATATAAGTAAAGAGGGGTTCCCCTCACCAAAAGCGTGATAGTTAGCAAATATAGCTAGTGTGGGCTAATTAGATGCAAATTAGTTGTGAAACAGAGAATTGGAATCAGGTGATTGGAGAATCACTCTTTTTGCTCTTGCCTGTATCTGGTGTCAGGGTCACACAGTATCCAGGATTACTGTTGCTTGGGGCACTCGGAGCCCAGGCTTGGTAGGTGAAAAAGGAATTGTTGCTCCATTTCCAACGCCGGTTCTGTAGCGGAAGGTAAATAGAGAAAATCCCTTCAGACCCATACACTATTCCTCACTCTCCTCAAAACTCCACACGCTCATTCTTCCCTTAAATTCTTCTATATATCATCGGCCTTGCTAGAATTTCTAATAATACAATCGTCCATTCATCAAAATCCTAAATAATCATACTGGAAAAACTGTCATATGGACAAGGGATTGGTGTTGTTCTCCTTGACCACATTTAGAAGCAGTGGGGATAAGGCACAAAGAAGAGAGTTGAGGTTTCATGTAAGAAGTCTTGCTAAGTAGAAGTGGGCAAGAGTAGAATGAATCACTTTGCATTCCCTCTCTCTGGAGGTCTTCAAGCAAAGACAGTTTGTATGGAGTCTGGTGTGGACTGGTGACCTCAGAGGTACCTTCAAAATCTGAAATTCTGTGATTCCCCATCTGTGGGCTCTAAGAGGAGGCCCATCTCCTCCAGGAAGCCTTCCTTAACTTTTCCCACACTAATCTGCTCGTCTGCAACACAGACCACCCTGACCAACCAAAGGAGTTCTAGTCTAGACTCTGTCTTATGCTATGATGTGTTCCTTTCAGACAATCAGAAATAGGGGCCAAAAGGTGTTAATAACTGCAATTATATCCTGTGACTATATCAAAGATCTGAGAGTGGGGGTAGGACCTTACACTTTGACACTATTTGGTCCCTCCTCCCAACCTAATGATGTACTTACAGAATATAATCACAAATGACAAGATGTTAATGTATTAAAAAGGTTCACACCCTGTTCTTCCTTTACCAACAGTGAAGACCTTTCTCTGCTCTTCCACTGGCTTGGTTCTCTAGAGATTCTCTAGGTTCTCTAAAGATTAGGTAATTTTGTGTCTTATCTCTACCAAGATGGAGACCATGACCTCCAATTAAGTGAATAGCCATGATGAAGAGTAATCCAAGTTTGCATGAAGTATGAGGAATGTGTGTGAGATTGAGTCTTAGTGGACAGATTGACTGACTAGAGATACCTGGACAGAGCCACTATTTACCCCCAGAAATGAGCCTGCCTCTCAACACCCCCTCATTTCTTCCCAATTTCCTCTTTCTAAAACTCTACATGGGAAAGGAGTGATGTGGTCTGAGAAAGCCCCCAGAGCCCCTACCCTAATAACCTGGGCAGGCAGAGAGGCTGGAGGGGTGTGTGGGACAAACCTTGTTGGCGTCATAGAGGCCAATCCAGATGGGGATGCTGCTGCCCCCACTCTCAGCCACCAAGGATGCCACAAAGGAAGCTTCAGCCTCATTCACCAGTGAGGCCAGATGGCCTGAAGTCTGGCTTTGGCAATTCATCTGTAGGGGAAGAAAGAGGGTGGAGAAAAGGAGAAAAGATAGAGATCATACTTTCAGGAGCTGTAAGGAGACAGGATGGTCAGCGGATGGAAGAGGAAAAGCTGGGCACAGATTGGGCACTGGAAAAGGGGCACAGATTGAGGGGCCAAGGGGGAGAGTGCTGGAAACTGGAGGAGAATGAAAGTTCTGGATCAGAGAAAATGAAGAAACAAGATTCTAGGACCCTAATCTAGGGCTAATTGCCAATGACTAAGCCTCAGGTGGTACTGGGATAAAAAAAAACCAAAACAAAACCAGGACATCCTTATCCCTACTTGGAGATTTCTTCCCCCAACCAACCTCTGCAGCTATACTGAACAAGGTCTGTGCTATACTGAACAAGCCATAGCAGTAGGAGCCAAATGCTTTGGACCCTTCAGGACAGGAGCGGCGAACAGAGGCAACAGCAGCAGGGGCAGCCTCACCTGAAAGAGGGATGGGAAGGGACCAGATGGCTGGGGATCTGGGATTGCTGTCCTCTTGAGTTCCTGATTGTCCCTCTCCTCTCTTCTTTGTTCCCCTTCCCCACCCCCAACATCATAACCTCTGCACTTTGCCCTTTGTGTCTGCTCTCCCTCTAGCTCTCCACATACACATGGGGCTGACCCCAAGCACAACATGGAAGTCAGGGAGGGGGGACAAGAAGCACTCACCATGTACCAGGCCTGTGAGCAGCAGGCAGGCCAAGAGCATCCCTGAGAAGCTGGGCATCATCACTAGGGGCAGTATTGCCTCAGAGTCTGCAGGGACAGAAAGTCCAGATACTAAGGTACAGAACAACTCAGAGTGGAGGAGAGCCAGAGATGGAATCAGGAAAGGGGGGAAGGACAAAAGACCCTCTGTACTCCCCTGCTCTCTCCCTCCAGACCTGGTGGCAGGTTCTCATGGTATCTCCTCCTTCTCCCCTTCCCCAGGTGTATGGGATACTGGAGACTCTGGAAATAGCAGGTAAACTCATGGATGGCAGATGTGAGGCTCAGGGGGCCCTCCATCACACTTCTGGGATGACCATCTGCCAACCTTTCTCCCAAAGGCAGACCCCTCCCTCCTCCACTCAGAGAGAAGCATAGTCTCTGGGATCCCAAGTGATCCTTTCTCCTTAGGTCCTCCACTTACCTGTCTGGAAGGACTGTGGGATGGTATGCCTGAGGAGGCAGTGACAGGACCTTTATAGCTTGAGTTTCAAAGGGAGGTGACATGGGCAGGAATGAAAAGTAGCTGACAAGGAGCTGAGAAATGTGGAAGGAGGGGAAAATAGTAATATGAGATCAGAGTAGATGTGCCGATGAGGAATAGGGTGATTCCTGGAATCTGTCTGATCTTTTCCAAGCAGCAGAGAGATTCCTAAGACACAAGGACAAAGGTTTATTCTGGGAGGGGCACAGGTGAGTCCCTTTTCTGGAGGATTCCTGCTGCCCATTCCTATAATGCTAGGAATAGACTCAAGGGTAAATCACCTTTCAGCAAGACCTTAGTTGGAGATTGAAGGAGAAGAGTTACAGGATCCTAGAACAGTATGGGAGCATAGGCCTGAAGCCAGTGAGGGGGAGGGGGGAAAGGGGCAGAAGGCTAAATGGAATGAAAGTCCAAAGATTAATTGATCCCATATCTTTTCTGTATATTCATTCCTGAAATCACTTAGCCCAGGAGGAAAAGGGCAGAGGACTGGGAAGCCCCTCACTGTCCTCCATTGACCAAAGATACATTTTACTTTACTTTAATTTTTTTCTTAAATGTTTCATGTTTCTTGATACCATTTTTCATTACCTCCATTCCCAAATATGTCAATCCCTGTACCTATCCTTTAAAAAAAAATTTAAAAAGCAAAAGGCAATTAAGAAAGATTAACCAAAATAGCAACTGTCACTACATTTGCCATGCCACACCCATAGACCCCCACCCCTACAAAAACAAAAGGTGTTGCATTTTGTCATTTTTTTCCTTGGAGAACAAGCCTATTTATTATAGTAGTAGTTCTAGGTTTGGTTTTTGTTGTTGCTGTTTTTTTCATTTGCAAAGTTGTCATCATTTTTGTACATTGTTTCCTTGGTTCTGAGTACTTCTCTCTATATCAGTTGAGATGAAGCTTTCAATGCTTCTCTGATCTCTTCACCATTTCTTGGAACACAGGAATATTCCTGAAATAAACTAAAGCCATTCCTTGTGAATGGATATTTACTTTGCTTCTAATTTTTTGGCCAACACAGAATGTGTCACTCTGAATATTTTGGTTGGAGGAGCACATTTAGGTTTAGGGTTAGGGTTAGATCATGAATTTCTGGGTCCTTTTTTTTTTTGTCATTGCTCTCCTTGGAATATATGCCTCACAATACAATCATGGGTTAAAGTTTAGTTACTTTTTAGTGTAATGTGAAGAGCAAATTTTCCAGAATCTGTGACAAAGAGGCATGTAATAGAGCATGAAGGAAAACTTCTAAACAAATCTCAATAAAAAAGAGAAGGTTTGGAGGTGAAGGCAAGGGTAGAAGCTTGGACCTTCTGAGGGTGCATAGACAAACCCCAAAGCATGACACCTCTGGGGCCATGCCAACTCCTGTCAACAGTGGTGTTTCTATCTTCACAACATCTGGCCCCCTTCTAAGTGATGCAGTGGATAGAGTATGGAATGTGAAGTCAAGAAGACCTAAGTTTCAGGGGGCAGCTAGGTGGTGCAGAGGATAGAGCACCAGCCCTGAAATCAGGAGGACCTGAGTTCAAATCTGGCCTCAGACCAAACACTTGACACTTACTTGTTGTGTGACCCTGGGCAAGTCACTTAACCCCAATTGCCTAAAAAACAAAAAACAAAATGAAACAAAAAAAAAAACAAAACTAAAAAGAAGACCTAAGTTTGAATCCTGCATCAGATACTTACTAGTTGAGTGACCTTGGGAAGTCACTTGAACAGTTCTCTGTAAAATAATGATAATGAGGATATGCTATTAATAACTATAACTAAAATTATATTTAAATAGCTAATGGACAGATGCCTTGGCTAGACTTGAAAATTAGTCTTTCAAATGACTAAAACCATTCTGTGATTCTTCATTGTTTAACATTTTTTTTTTTGCTAGGCAATGTGACAATTAAGTGACTTGCCCAAGGTCACACAGCTAGTAAGAGTCAAGTCTGAGGCCAGATTTCAACTCAGGTCCTCCTGACTCCAGGGCCAGTGCTCTATCCACTGCGCCACCTAACTGCCCCTTAACCTTCACTTTTCAGCATGCGGGAATAAAACTGCCTCATGCATGCCTGATTCCTGATTGGACTTGGGGTACCCTTTTTACTCTTATTGAAATGTATCCTGAGTCAGTCTGTAGGAAAAGGCAGCATGTACTTTGATCCCAACCCTTTATCCTTTGTAGCATGTGCTAGCTCCCATCTAGCTGCATGCACTTTCACCCCATATCCTTTTCTCTAATCTCATTTCCCTATGATGCAGCAATAAGGGAGGAGGTGTGAGGTTAGCCCATTCCGTTTTAGAAATGTGTATCTATTGGGATTGTTTTTCCTTTATTATGGAATTTGTGTATTAAAAAACTCATATATAAAAATGGCAAGTGGGTTTGAATTGCATTGTCTGGCTCCATTCAACATGCTTCTGCTTTAGCTGCTACAATAAACTTTAAATTTTCTCTTCCTGAGTTTGCTCCATTATTGCCAGTGAGGTCTGAAAGATTTTTTTTTTTACATTCCCTCTACCTCCCAGATAGAGAAGTCCCTTCAAACTAGAATTTCAAAAAATGCAATTATTCCCTAGAAATCTGGGGAAGGTTTAGAACTTGATGTGTGGGAGTCTAACTCCCCTACTGAGGTGACAGGTAACACCAGAACAATGAATCCAGGGCCATCAACAACGGTAGGTCAAGGATGGGAGTGAAGGAAGGAAACCACATTTATTAAGTGCTTACTAAGTGCCAGATGCTGAGATTCAAATAGAGTGGTCCATGAGAAACCCATTATTTCAAGTACCACTTAAAGCCACTTTAGGAGACAATGAGATTCCTGGAGATTGGTCAATGAAATACAGAAACTAACTGGAGCTCTTCTGCTCCTCTGCCTGGGGCTGAAAAATGGAATAATGTCATGCCTAGATATTCATGAAACTCTGAACTATTGTCCCTAGTTACCTCATTTCCCTGACCACAGCAGGTTTTACTCTGTAAGAATCTTTAGCCTCTCCTGGTTAGTGGTTGTCCTCTTAAGGGGCAACTCCCTTTATTAAGTGTCCCCCTTAGTGAGTATATCCCTTGGGTGAGGGCTGCCCCCTCTCCCTAGGGTGGCTGCCTCCCTTAGGGGGCTACCACACCCTTTAAGCTGTGTCTTCCTTAAGGGGAGGAGGAGCCTGCTTGGTGTGTTGTATTATCCCTAATAAACACCTTTACTTGATTTGGAGACAGCCTGAGTGAATTCTTTCAAGATGATCTTGCACCCCAACATTTTGGGTGCTCCTAGACCTCATAATTTCTAATCAAGATAAGCCCTAATCCCTTTACTGCCCACACCCCAGTCTGACTGGGGGTAGTTTGGGACCTCTGCACCATTTTTTGCAGATTCTCTCTAAGTGGGAACCCTATATTTTTCCCTTCCTGTGCGACATCATGGGAGGCAAAGTGGTTTAAAGGGAAAGTGACTTGTTTTGGACTTATGGCACAATGGGAAAGTTTCCTTCCACACCACAAGACTCCCCTCTAAGATTCCCCATTCTAAGTTTTTAAGGGGTAGACACAGAAGTGAAGTTTATTTGAGTAAAAGTTCAAAAAAAAATTCTTGGTACTCTTCTCCTTATGGTGTTAGGTTCAGGGGCATAGCAAAGAAGTCAGTCAGACACATCCCAGAAAACATAGTCAGGTGAGAAAGTAGGACAAAAAAAAGGACAGGAGTTTAACTTGTCTACTTTTAAGGCTTATTAAGACTCATCTGGATTACTGAGAAGACTTTAAACCATCTCTAGATACATGTTTTGAGTTGTTATATAACCCTTGGATGATAACAAAATCATCAACCCTCAAAATCAACAGCATTTCTTTATAATAACAACAAAGCCCAAGAGACAAAAAATAGAAAGGGAAAACCCATTCTAACTGAAAAAAGTGCATAAAATATCTGGAATCAATCTATCAAAGCACATAAAAGACTTGTATTGATTTGGTTGCTAAATACTTCTTAGAAAAATCAAGAATAACTTAACCAGCTGGAGAAATATTCAATGCTTCTGATTAGGCTATGTCAATATAATAAAAATGCCAATACCTCCAAAGATAATTTACACTTACAGTACTATGCCAATCAAATTACCTAGGGGAAACTTTAGAAACTTTCTAAAATGATAACAAAAATCATGTGAAAAAATTAAAAATCTGTAATATTAAGGGAAATAATGAAAAGAAATAGGGGCAATAACAATTACAAATCCCAAACTATTTTACCAAGCAGGAGTCACCAAAACCATCTGGTATTGGTTAAAAAAAATAGAGATCAAAACATTCTAAACAAAGAAGAACCAGAAAAAATGGGACTCAATCATCTAGTGTTTGATAAAATGAAAAACATAAATTCTCTAGAGGGAAAAAACCCAACCTCTTCATCTGATTAAAAAAAAAAAAAAAGCCTGCTGGGAAAACCAAGAAGCAGTCTGGAAGAAATTGGGCTTAGGCCAATATCTTACACCACACTCCATAATACATTCTAAATAGATATGATACCTTAATATTAAAGAT